TAGAATCTTTATAACAACAATAGCCATCCTGGTATTTTAATTAGATATAATAGAAAATGCTCCTTTTAAATTTCTGGTTATATTTGAAATCCAGCCTGACAAATATAAAAATAAAATTAAGTATCTGAAACTGAGGAAATTCTGATTCTTTGTATTAAGATTTCAAATGCAATAGAATAGAGAGCTTTTTTAACTAAAGAAAATAGAGAAAAAGATAATTATCAAAAAGGAAAGCAATCCACTAAATCTTACTGAACCTACCTGCAAAGCTCTTGTGGTGTTTGCATGTTGCCTCTACCTGAAAGTCTTTCAGCTATATAATAATTAAAATTTAGGAAAAGTGCCTTTTGCCAATAGAAAGTGCCATCCAGGTACAGTCACATGCAGCTTTGTAACTATATTTCCCCTCAAACTACAGTTAATAGGTGAAAACGTGAACATTTCTTCATTCAGAAATACCCAGAGGGAAACAATGACAGGTGGAAAATGTCTGTTCATTATTGTCTCAAAGAACAGTCCCACAATCCCCAGGGAGGCAAATCAGGTTTTAGGGAGCAAAACATCCATTTTATAGATGAAGATTATGTTATTTGAAGCAACAGAGTTTGCCAGCGGTACAGTGGGTGTAAGTGCAGTGGCGTCCCAGGCTCATCTGGTCCCAGGCAAGGCCACCTACTGGCAGAACTGCATCCAAAGTGGGAAATTTCACTAATTCAGCAGCATCGGTGCATATTGTGGCAAAGGTCTAAAAGTGTTGGACAATGGCAGGTAGAATGGACAAAGGTCTAAATGTCTTGAATGTGGTCATGCAGGATGGCCAAAGGTCTCGGTGTGTGGAGTGCTGTTATGTAGAGCTGGTCTCAGATGGCTAGCAAGGTTCTTCTATCAGGATGCCTGACAAGGGCTTCAATATCTGCTGTGTATAAATACAATATCTGCTGTGTATAAATATATTGTGAAACCAAATTCACAAAGATGGGGATGTGGGTTCAATAACAAAGTGGAAAAAAATAAAAGTGAATAGAGGCCTTATCTGCTGACAATTACTCAGGTGTGAATTTCAGGAGAGGAGATGCCCAAGCAGCCTGTTGGTCCTTTTGAAGTGTAGTCTCAGCTTCTGATAACCTAGTTGTCCTGCTTGGATACTTGTTTTCTCACCAAAAACAGAATATGGATTTCAAAAGATAGAGCTTGCCTTATGTCTCATCAGGAGAGGACAGCCTTCCTCTGTCTTGAGCAACCACCAAGAGGATTTCACAAGCAGGATGTGGAGCAGAGCAGTGTGTGTGGACATGTTCTGGCACTGTTTCATCAGTCTGAATAGGTTTGCCTTGCCCATAAAAAAAGGTTGAAGCAGTGATTAACATGTTGGGGTTTACTTCTGTGGCTATTTATTTTCAAATAACATGGAAGTATTGAAGGAATCCTGCAGCATCAGCTGTTCCATTATTGCTGCAGGTCTGCTGCTGACATTGGAACTGGTTTTATGTTATGGTCTTTATCTTTAGAAACGGTCATTGTAACAAAGTCCCAGATGAACAGCTGGCCCTCCTCAATCGAAAAATGAGGCACCATCTCAAGGAATTAGCCCAGTGCCTAAGTGCACTGAGAATGGGGACTCTGTGCAAAGGACTTTTGGGGAGGGCTGGGAGATAGAGTAATAAGTAGAAGCAATTTGTATGTGTGCAGTTCCTGAGAGTAAAATCTTTGATGTTATTATTTGAGCAGTTTCCATGTTCCTTTGCAAGTCTGGGAATAAACGTTTATTAGGGAATTTTTTGCCAGTATCCCTTTGTATTCATTACTCTGGTTGGCAGAACAAGCAGCCTGCATTTATTTACATCATGACTCTTTAAACATGTTGTTAGCTGTTACGTGCCTCTCTAAGTTAGGGATCAGAGGCTTAGCTGTAAATATGAGGAAGGCTCAGGATAAAGCCGCGTATACAGACTTAACCCGAGGTCACAGCTCCGTGAGAGACTTTGCCGTGGGTTTCGTTATTCATTCAGACCTTCTCCTGCCCTCTGCTGGCAGTTCCCTGTTATCCCTTACACTATTCCCGGGATAGGTACCTGTGCCAGCTTGCTGCTTGCAGTCTGCTTTGCCAAACGGAATTTGAATTCTTGTCATTAGTGAAATTCCTTGCCACGGGTAACTGCTGTGCCCGCTGCATTTATAATGTTATATGAAGATGCATGAAGTGTGGTCGTTTTGGCCTTTGGAAATCATATCTCTGTGTACAAGCTATCACCCAGGGAACAGTTATTCTGTTCTTCAAAACTGTATTTACTTTCTGAAGTAAAGTTTCTGATTTTTGGCAGACATGCTGATTTGCAAAGCCAAGTTCTTGAGTTAAGAAATGCCAGCATTGATGATGCCTGTGCTATTTTAGTGCTGCTCTTGCCATCTTGTGTTTGATGCATGTATGTATTAGAATGCACTTTTCCTCCACTGTTTTTTTTGGTGGGCTGTTTTATTTTCATGATGGTGTATTACATCTGTCATGAACAGTAATTTAATGTATTGGTAGTTTCACCTGTGACATAGCCAAGTGTGGCATGCTGTTCTCCAAAAAGCCTTCAGGTATACAGTTTTGTCTACTTTTCTGTTTCAGAAAGAAAGAAGCAAGAAGCACTAATAACTTTGAATTTGGTTCAACTCTTATGCACTGAATGAATAAGCAAAGGGACCTAAAAGGAAAAAATGTAATATATATGTAAGAACAGGCAAAATAAAGATTTGTACAGACTGTTTCAATTTGGATACCTTCTCATTTCTTAAATATGTGACATTACAGCCTTGATAATCTTTTAGTGTTTTCTGAATCGGGTTGCAATATTCAAATACTTGAGAAAGCCAGCCTGAAAAATTGTGTATCAGCTTTGGATAGCAATGGGGTTGTGAGCAAGGCTTTTAGATCCACTTTTACCAGGTGTTTGTGAAGCAATCAAAGTAGAGGTGAGTTAGCTGTAATTTTATTTATAGGCATAATGGGATGCATTTTTGCTGGCAGTTTTATGAGATAGTTGCTGTAAGCCAGGAGAGTGATGAGAATCAGTGCAGGATTTTGTGAACATAGTTCTTGCTGATCCTCTCCATCCCTCCATTTATCCCCATTCCAGTTTCTGTACTTTAGGTTCCACCTCTCCACCTGAGTTACATCCTTTGCCACAGAAGACCTTAATTTGTGCCTCTGCTTGTTTCTTTCCCTTTCTCCAGCCTCCTTGTTCCCAAGCTCAGTCTTCCATTGTTGGGCTCTTGATCCATCAGAATTTCACATCCCTCTGTTGCTTCTAGCCTGAGTTGTAGTTTTCATGTTTGTTCGACTTTAAGACCACTGAAAAACTTTCCACTGGAGCTGTAAAATACCTGTGCTGATTCACCTTCTTGGCTACCTATTGCAGGCCCCTTCAAAGCAGTTACAAACCTTTGCCATTGATGCTTTACTGAGCTGCCACCTCTTGTCTCCTTCTTCCTTGTCAAATCTGAAAATAAATGTCAGCCAAGTGAGCAAACAAGTGGACTAGAATGGAAGTAGGATGAGTCTTTGGTAATAAATAAATATGTATTTGACCCACAAATTTAGTTGTAATTAAGCAGCTGGGAGCTATAATCACCTTTTTCCAGGGGCCTGGCTGCCTTCAGGTAGTAGCAGTCTGAGAAGGATTAGAGATGGTCTTTGAAGGTGCTGCTTGGGGAAAAAGCAAGCTGTTACTGAAATGGGGACAGCTGAGACCCTGCCTTTGTCACCAGGGGCCACTGAGGCTGGCTTTCAGCATTCCTACAGAACTGTGCATTTTAGAGAAAGGTACTTCCTATGCAAGACCCTTGCTCCCGCAGACAGGATGCCTTTGGAAAGGAACCTGCAAGTGGGACTTTTCAGGAAGGTAGTTGAGGTTACAGTCTACGTAATTTTTCCATTCGTATTTATGTGATAAAATGAACAAGTGCAGTTCTCAGAGCAAAAGGAAGGGGACTTAATTAGAATTCAGTAACTCAGTAGGGAGCCCAGATAATGACTACAAATGATGTAAACAGTGCTGTGAGACACCATGCCTGTTTGCATTGCAGCACTGCCTAGACCTCGGGGATCCTGAGAAGAGAGGGAAGGGAGGGCACTGGAGGCCCTGTCAGCTGTTTTAAGAGGATACCATCCACTGGATGCTCTGTCGAGGCACTCTTTGGTGGCCTTATGCCTGCTGTTGCATAAGGTCCATTTTAGGTCCCTTTGATGCTTGTTCCAGGGCATGCAGGCCCGTGACCCCAAGGCACCTGGTGTGTCACACTCTGTCTTCCTGCCTCCTTAAATTGGGCTTTTTAGCTGCTCATGCCATGCAAAGGACTGGGGTGTCTGGATCCAGGTACAAACATCCTTAGGCAATCTTGTCCCAAACAAGTATCTTACTTTTAGATACCAACTCCAGGAGGAAACAAAGTGTTTCTTGCCTGGGAAAAAGGGTAGGAGGGCTGCTGCTTCTGTAGCCTCATCCAGCAGTAATTGCTGGTTGTTGACGTGCTGAGCAAGCAAGGAAACTGGATGGGCTGTGGTCAGCCATAAATATAAAGTCTGGGACTCCATGTAGCTGCTTACTGCTTTTCTGAGCTACCTTTTTCTATCTAGCCAAAAAATTTAAAATTAGCTTATTAACAAAGATAAGTGCATGTTAATTGCATCCTTACTGTTTTACCCAAGGAAGTTTCATGTTTTGAAACAAGCACTAACAGCATGCTTGTTAGCTCTGAGAAGAGTCGTCAGGCATTTCTACTGAGGAGCCGTGCTTGGAGTTCAGCAGTAGGTGGGAGACTGTGCTCAAGAGGTACCTGAATCCCAGCTCGTTAACCTGCCCGCATACAGGAGCAAAATTGGTTTTGTTATTGGAGTGGTTAAATGCGCTAGTTATGATTTCTTTTTGATGCATTCTTTTAATTTCTTTTGGATCCTTTTTTAGTTTTGCTTAACAGCTTTTTAAGGCTTTTTTTTTTCCCCCCTCTGTCTTCAGCTATTGATGGATTTCTAAAAACTGATGAAAGACAAAGACTGGCAAAGGAAAGAAGAGAGGAAAGGGAGAAATACCTTGGTAAGTTGGCAGGAGGTATATCTATTATTTATATATATGTTTTAATAGGCTTAACTAACTAACATAGCATTTTTTGTGTTCTGATTTTTACATATTTATGTTCAGTCTGTTCCTGGTCTTTACCACTTCTTTTAACTTAAATTATAAAAAATAATCTTTCTGCATTTCCAGTCAAATATTTAGTATTTTATATTTACAAGTTGAATTTCTTCTTTGATTTGTGTGCCTTTGAATATAGGTTTATGTTCAAGATACTGCTGTTATGATCCTGGTTTGTAAAAATTCCAAATAACTTTTGAATAATACTTAGAATAATATGTAGGATGATTTGATAAAGCAGCCTCAATTTTAGTCTGCTTGGTTTTAGCCATATTGAAATATATAATAGAGTTGTTAAGTACAGCATTAAAGTGTGTACTTTTCTGTAAGTTATAAAACGGCTAATCTGATAAAAAATATTCTTAAATTCCTGAATAACATAACCAATGACTTCAGATTTTGTTTAAAACAGTAATTTATTTTTAATCTATTAATATGACCAGGGAAATGTTGAGAGAATTGCAAAATATATGTAGAAAGTATAAATATATATTTAAGGGGAGTGGGTGTATACACAATTAAAATATACATATATATATGTGTATGTATACATACATATATATATACACATAAATGAAATTTTCTGTTCAACATTGATTGGCATTTCCTATATCTCTCTGTGTATATAAAGTGTTAAACAGTTAACTTCACTTTTCCTCATTGTAATGACAAGAAAGATCAGTAGCACTATTCCTAGAGACAACCTGACAATACCTAGCAGAAGGAGTTGTCAGTGTTTTATGATTGTATGTAAAATTTAAGATAAGCATATATTTTGGGGAATGTCAACTAAACAAGTATGGGCACCTGTCAAAAGAATCATAGGAAAATACTGTTTTTCTTGCAATAAATAAACAAACTGTTGACCATTTATTTGCAAAGTCTGGGGCTTGAGACTGGTGACTTGACATTTTTCATTACCATGGGCTTGGTCAGCATGATTCCTTTTGGTAGTTCTGGTGAAAATGTGCTGCTCTTTAGGACTTAACCTTGCCCAAGCTTCTGTCTATCTGGGACTTACTTCTCTTCCAGGTATGCTCAGTGTAGGCTATCTCTTCTTTCCTCCTGATTATCCCTTCTTTTCTGGTTCCCAAGGAAGTGATATGATGATTAGATTGGAAAGGACTTGGAATAGAAGTGATGAAAAGGAAACGGAGACCTGGAGATTTTGGGATCAGTTGGCCCAGGGGATTTGGAAGGTGGTGTCTGCAATTTTCTCCCAGACATCATATATGGCTGCTGGAAGCATATTTCTTAAGACCATTTCTGTAATGGGGAGTTTGGATTTTGGTCACATTTTGATTGTGAGAATTTTCTTCTAGAAGTTCAGAAAAAAGCAGGTGTTCCCCCAAGGGTCAGATCTTTAAGGAGTCGGTAAATACTGTATAGCAATAGGAAGTAACTTTTTCACCCGAGCCAAAACTCATTAATCAGTGGTTTAGCATCCTGAAATTAAGCAACAAGAATTGTATGTGTGTCCATGATGACAGAATTGTTTACTTCTCTGTCCAGAATCAGTCCCAGATTTCACCTATTTACTCAGAAGGTAATCTTAGCACAATCTCTGGATACCTCAATTTATTTTTGGTTTTTATGAACTCCAGCATGCTTTGTCACCTGCTCTACCTGATGTGGCTAGCAGTTGGAATAATTAATGCCTGGTCACTTGTTATCCACTGTCTCTGAGGTAACTTTTTCTGTTGACAAGTCTGAACTTTGTGCATTCAATCCAGGTTCACTGCATCACTGACACTCCCCTCATACTGCCCTGTCTGAGTTGGGAGAATGAGTGGATTTTCATAGGACAAAAGGGGAAGACAACATCAACTGTATTTCTAACAAGAATAAGCCAGAAGATGTTCTGGAAAGCAGGCTGGATTTGAGGAAGTATTGTAGAAGGATTCTGTATTCAAGGGAAAGAAATTAAACGTTGAAAAAGGATCTGGTGTTGGGAAGACTCTGGCTTTCATCCAGGGGAGTGAGGATGGAGTGGGGCTAAGAGGGACAGAAAGTCACAGGTGTGGTTAAAGACCCTGGGGACAGGAGCTGAGGGGAAAAGGCTGATGTGAGAAGAGGCATCTGGAAGGCTGGGCAAGATCCTAGGAACAATGGGAAGATAATATGGGAGAGTTAGAAGGGTGATGGTGTGCTGCACAAGGAAACAGGAACTGAAGAAACACAGGCATAAGTGAGCAGAGGCATAAGTGAGCAGGAAGAAGGACTAGTTCTTGTATTAACAGTGTTAATTCTGGCTTTTTTTGATTTCAAGTTCTTAGCCTAGCAATATTCTTTGATATTGGCTGTATGTGTGTTGGTATGTGACACTACAGGCTTGTGTGTATATAGGCATGCTTACAGAACTCCTCTTTCTGCCTTTTTATGGAATACACTTGCATGGGAAATGGATTTTTCCTCTCAATTTGCCATGTTAACTCCTGCTACTTGTTCTCATATGTACACCTGAAGCAACAGTCCAGTATGTATTGTTGCAGTCTGAGTTTCTGAAACATCAGGGTAATGTCCCATGAAGATTATTGCTCCAGTAGGAATAAACAGCTGGGCAAAACCTCAGTACAGAAATAATTTTTTTTTTTCACGTGAAGAGGCAGAAGTGGGTAAAGATGTAGCACCAAATCAGGAGCTGAAAGATGTATTTTCAAAACTCCATAGAAAACATAGAATATGTTGTTTACGTGTGTCTGTTTTAAAGGCAGCTCCATTACAAGAAGCACACTTTTAAAGAAGTCCCAAGGGCTTTTGCTTCTACATATAGAGCTGATTTCCTGTCTAAAAAAATAATTTGGTTTTACGCTTCAAAGGGACTTGATACATTAAAAACATTTGCTAAACTGTTTTGTACACCGGGGTACAAATTAGCACCTTGTGTACAAGGGCTTCCCTATTTATTTATTGAGCAAGTTGCTTAGATTAACTAATCATTTCTGCACTTCTGTGCACTATATTTTTAATCTCAACTGACTAAAATAATGTGTACTTGTATTTGTTGTTTTGCACTATTGTTTCATGTAAACAAATAATTTTAAAATGGAAGAAAATTTGCATGACGTGAAATGCACCCTTTTCTCTGCATAAGCTGCTAGGGAGCAGCAGATACTGGAGAAGGAGAGAAGAGCAAAACTTCAGTATGAAAAGCAAATGGAGGAGCGATGGAGAAGACTGGAGGAGCAGAGGCAGAGAGAGGAGCAGAAGAGAGCAGCTGTTGAAGAAAAGCGGAGACAAAAGCTCAAAGAGGAGGAGGTGAGGTCCGCTGGGAGATGTATGGCAGCGCTGAACATGGCTGAATATTGACATGCATTAAACGATGGGGGGTGGGAGCAGGACTGGAGACATGTGAGCAATTACTGCAGGAGCTGCAAAGCACATCACCAGAGCTGTAAGTAGTCTACCACTGTACATCAAAAACAGTTTCCGAAACAATTATTCAGAATTTTTGTCTGATCTCCTAGAATAGTCATCTACTATTGCTAACATATCTGGGACTCTGATTGTCAAATATAAAGCACCAGCTTTTTGGAAGGAAGTCTTTAAAGATGAGTGTTTCCAAAAAGGGAAAGATTCTTCTTGTTGTTCTGTTTACTGTCCACGAAAAAGAAATAATGTGTTGTTCCATTTTTCCTCAGTGACAGAAACTCAGAAATTTGTACTTAAAGCAGTGAAGAATCTAGGCTGTTTTTAAATTCTAACATAAAATAGAAACAGATATTTTTAAGCATCTTCATGCCCTTCATCTATTTTATGCTCCCTGCTGAGATCACTTAAGGTTCTTTTTTTTGCTCTAGTGAGTCCAATTTCTGGTGCAGCTCTCTGAATGCAGGGTGTGTGTGTATATCTCTGCATGACATTATATGGAGAACACCAGCACTGCTACCCGCAACTGATAAAGAATTAATGATTTTTGAAAAAGGAGGCAGTGGTTAAAAAAATAAAAAAAAAAGCCAAAAGAAAATATTTCCTCAATTCCTGGATTTAAAAAAAAGCTTTAGAAATCCATAGTTCTTAGCCTCTATTTTTCTGCCCTGTCCTTTCATCAGAATAACTTTGCAAAACAGGTAAAACACTTTTGCATGATTTCACAATAACATACAGCTGTTCAGTGAATTTTTTGATTTTTCACTTTACTTGAAGAAAAGATTGTATCCTGTCATTTGTCATTCAACTTTAACATTCTCATTGTGGCTTCTATGTAATGGCAGAGAATTAATTTAAAAATATTTTATGTGTTTTGCTTCAAATTCTTTGAAGAAAAATGGGAAAAAGCAGAAAACAAAGGGTAGGAGGTCCCTCTACTGTGGTAACAGCATTGAAGTCCTGTGCTCCTTCTCCAGCATTTTGTGCTGCAATAACCTTTTGCAGCTAAGCAAAATCAATTCCCTTTGTGAGGGTTGTAAGGGGAAGGGGCAAGTTACAAAAACATCCAAAACCCTGCCCTCAAAATTTTCAGCAGAGCAGAACAGAAGGGCAGAGAAGTGTAGGAAGAGCAAGTTTCCACCAGCTTTCCCTGCATTCGTGGTTTGCCTTTGCAGAAGAAATGAGAGCAGAGTTGTTGCATGTAAAGGGCGGTGTGACAGGTCAGACCCAAGGCGTCTGTTTAGCCGGGGCCGATCCCATCTCCTGCAGTGGCCTCCTGTACTTCCCCAGAGGTGGGCATGAGAGGCTGAGCACACTGTGATGCTCTTCCCAAGCTCCAGCAGGCCTGTTCCAGCTCCCCAAGATACTGCACGTGTGAGGATGCTTGCTTGTTTGGGAATGGATTAAACCTGTGAGAGGAAAAAGTCCAGGCGCCTCAAAGGAGAAGAGGGTGCACAGGGGAATAATCTGGAGAACAGGGGAGAGTGAGAGAAGGAAAGTGGGAATAGGAGGCATCATCACCTCCTAGCTTCCCTTCATACTTCCTTTTTCCTCATTTCTCAAATTCTGTTTGAATTCTACTAAAGGGTCTGCCAGTTCAGCCTCACCTTCCCTTGTTCTTGTGATGAGCCCCTCAACCTCTGTGTGCATAATAACAGTGGAAGTCTGAGTAAGGATGGTGATGAATTTGCAGTTCCCTGGGCACTGTGAGTTACTCACTGCTTGTGAGTAATTTTGGTCATTTAAGGCTGTCTTTACTGGAAAAGCTTTGAACCACCTGGGGTTTGAGGGTGTATGTGCTCCTGCCAGTAAGCCAGTGTATTGTGGCATCTTCTCAGTGTTTCTCCTTTTAACACCAGTTAGCACTGGCTGGGTACTGGAGTACCCACTTTACTTGCTCATAGGTGTCTGAAATGACAAGTAGAGAGATATTCTTCCTTGCTCTCTACCTTACTGGTTGTCCTTTATAGTTTCCCTGAATTATTTTTCCTTTTTTTTCAAACAGAGCACAAGGTAGTGCAGATTCATGGTAGGAAGAGGTCATGTAAATCTCTCTGTACAAAATATTGTTGTTGCCTCTGAAAGAGTCTGAGAGGAATAGATCTTAACAAACTAGTGGGGATTTGTTTGCTCCTATATCAGAGCATCCTGTGCTTGACTGTTTTGCTTGCAAAGGACTTCTTAAAGAGGTGGCTAAAATTTTATTTATTTTGCTTAGTTTTCCCCCTCAACAGTGCCACGTAAGGGATGGTGGTTTTTGTCTCTCTTGGTAGAAATCAAGGTACTCTGTCAGAGTTCTTTGGGGCAGTTGGAGATTGTTGCAGAGCACAGTGAAAGTGACAGATTCTTCAGAAGGAACTGAATAAATAATGTTTAGAAATTATTCTGTCTATATTTACTGCATCTTTCTTATCTACAGAGGTATTATCACTGCCCTTCCCTTTGTATTACTTTTAAAGCTGTGCACTACTTTTAGTAAAAGCAGCCTTGAGGAAAGCACTGTGTTGTTCTACAGAAGTGATTTAAAAGTTTCTCTTAACAGGGATCTGGACAAAAGTAACTTTTTCAGTTTTCCCTTTCCTGTCTTGAACTTCCATGTAACTTGGAAATACCTTGTAAATAGATGTCTAGCTGTATACAGGTTATTGGGAAGAGATTGTTTTGGTGCATGTGCACTATTTGTTACATTTGTAAAAAGAATGTGCTTAGACACAAAAGAGTGAAAAACTCTCAAGATGTTGTAGCTGTAATTACTTCCTGTACTTCACTCCAAAGATGAAGCCAACTGATAATCTCAGGAAACAGTGAGCTACTTACATACAGTGCTGTATATAAAGTGAGGAGGAAGAGATGGTTTGGGGCTCTTTCAGATGTTTGTCTTGCAGATATAAGGAGATTGGTTTATAATTATTTGCATAAATTATTTTAAGTCATAATACTTGAAAGATTATTTTTTCCTTGTCACATCTGTGTTATAATTTACAAAAAAAAAAAAAGGAAATAACATATTTTTGAGAAAACAAGTAATTCGACTGAGTTTTGAGGAGTGGGGTTTTGTTTGCTTTTAATTCAGACAGTACAAGTGCTTATTCTATTGCTCAGGCTGAGGAAAACGTGCATAAGTAACTAGATTTTGGAAAGTAATGTATATTTTAGACGTTAGCAGTAGATGGCTCTCTTGTGATTTTATTCATTCTTAGTTTAACCTACATGCAGTGCTTGTGCATTATAAAGATTTTTTGTGAAAATTCAGTATATCTTGAGAGCAGACATTGTTTCCTCTATCTGTAGCTGTTAGAGTTCCCAAATGAGATCACATAGTCTGGTATGTTTTCAAGAAGTTGCTTCACCTATAACATAAACTGGAAGGGTTTTCTGCATTGTTTGCTGATGAAGGAAAGCTTTGTCTTGTGGTTTAATTTTAATCATGGAACAAATTATTAATGTATGAGTTGTTTATGCTATGCTTGCTTATGTCTTATTATTTTCTTTGGCTTTTTAGTTTTGTGCCAAGTTAAAATGTTTTTAATAACTATGCTTTCTTTGTGAAAAGCAGCCTTTGTATTGTTCTTTATCTAACCTATATCTGCAGAGGTTTTTGAGTTTTAATAATTATATTCTATAGTGCTCTAATGAAAGGCTCTTTGCAAATGAAAATGAATTATCATCTCCAAATAATGTATCTGAAGATTTCAGCCTCAGATTGTAGGTAGCATGGGCTTTCAAATGTGTATGAAATGTCATTTAATTTCTTTAATCTATTTCAGCATGGATTTTATTCCTGAAACAATACTTTGATAGTAGGTGTAAGTGTATTCTGTGGTTTGCAAACTATAGAATATTGCTTACTCCAAGCATTGTTAAAAAGCCCCAAACAAGACAGCGAACAGAAATAATTGAAACATGACTGCTTTAATCTTTTTTTTTTTTTTTTGATTAATGAATAGCAATATTCATTAGAAATGGAAAAAAAAAGGTTCTATGTAAGAGTATGCTTTAATGAGAAAGAAATGGGAGGGTGCTTTTCCTTGGTAAAGGGTGTGGGTAGAAAGATAGATTAAGGCAAGTTGCATAGTAGAAGAAAGTGGTGAAAAGAGGCACACTGCAGAGAGGACCTGGTGATGAAATATGGGAGGTTTGGAAAGACTAAGAAAAGGGGCTCAAACAGAATTAAGTTAGAGAAATGAGGAGCTAAAAGTAAAAAAGCACAAATTTGTAATGCAAAGCTTGCACATCCAGAATTTAAATGTGAAACTTGTATCATCAGGTAGTAAGAGAAGAAAGAAAACCTGTAGCAAACTAAAGCAGAGAGGACTGACTGCGGAGTCCAGAGAGTGGAAAAAGATTTGTTTCTTTTTCACAGGCAGAGTGTGTGTAAGAACCGAATGGGGTGTTCAGAGCTGTGGGGGGTTTCTGTGCTCTTGCAGAAGAGGCTGTGCTTGAGCCTTGTGATGCTTGCTTCATTTGCTCTGTAGGGAGAAGGGAAGAGGCTGAGCTCTCATTTTCATGCCTGCCTGGACGCTGATGGCACTGAGTAGCAGAGGAGGGGGATGAAGGGGGGAGGGGGCAGGGAAGCAGCTGCCTACTCTCAGTGGTCTTTGAATGATGTTACCTGATAGACCGTGAGCTCACAACGCGGCTGAAAGATCGTTTTCCTGGAGACAGCAGCAGAGATTGTAACAGCAGGGTGGGTCACCTGGCCAAAAGGTAACAGAGACAGGAGAGCTGGGGATGATAGAGGGTGCAAGAATTTCCTTTTTTCACTTTGTATAGAGGGTGACAGAATATTTTAGAGCACAAGTGATTTGTAATAAAATTAGAAGAGAGCTTAAAGATTTTGTAATACAATTAAAGAGAGTTTGCTGTTGATACTGATGGATAACTGGTAGCAGGGTTGGATGAGGTGGAAAAAATGAACTCAGAAATAAATTACTGCAAGTCATGGTAGTAGAAGGGATTCTTCAAAGATATGGAAGAGGCAAAAGTATATTCTAGATAACCAAAATATGATGAAGGGACATCTGGCAATGTAAAAAGTCAATGACCAGAGTCAGAAACCCAGGAAGGTAAGATAAAGTTTACAGGTACATTTATAAAAGTATGGAGACAACTGGATTGTTAGGGTCTGATGTGCTTAAGGAGTTCATCAGAGACAACTGGCTCACCACCAGTACAGAGTCTGAAGGAAACACGCTTAAACAAAGACTGAATGTTTTTGGTAAAATAGCTCAGGAGAGCCAGACCAAAGGCATTAAGGTTTTCCACACAATTTATCTGAGCTGCCAGAAGATATTGGAGATAGAGCAGGGGATTGATAAAAATCAAAATGGGTATGATGTAATCACAGAAGCCTGCAGGATCCAGTTTGAAGTAGATAAGAGTAGGAGTTTTATACTAGGCCAAAAGAACATAGCAAATGTAATAAGGAATAACACCAAAAATACTAATAGGATCAAAGGGCTAAAACTCCCTGGGCAGGAGCTGGAGGCTGCAAGAGTAGACTTATCTTTCACAGTAGGGGTTGGGCTGCTGAAATGTGAGGGTGAGGAGGCTGTCAGATGCCAATGAGGTACTGGGAGGAGGAAAGGAAGAAGCTGTTAGATGATGAAATTGTGGGAGGGGGAGAACCACATTTTATCTACTTGAAAGGAGGAAAAGAAAAAGTGCAGGGATCATTGCCACAACAATAAATCATTGAGCAACTAGCAGAGGGAGGAGGTGGGAATGAAACTCAGTGAAGGTCGTTGAGAGTCAAGAGGTGATGGAGAAGGAATAAAGTGACCAAACTTAGCTGTAAGTTAGAGGTAGAGCAACATTTGGGGAGGTAAAAAAGTAATTTCATTCTTCCCCCTGTAAAATCCTAACTCGTGGAGAAGAACATGGGGGTGGCAGGGGGAAAAAAAGTAAATCTTGAAGCAGTATGAGGTAGGCATGCTAAAATAAAATACACAGAGAAGAAAAAAAAAACCCAGAAGGTCTCAAATGCCTCGACTTAAGGAACATAAAGAAGAAAGGAGGGAGTTTTGGTAAAAATAAATAAATAAGTAGGGCATCCTGCAAAGTAACCTACTTTGAGTTTGAAGCGATCATTTATCTGAGTGACTAGGTGGAGCCACTGGCATTGCAGCAATTTAACTGTGCTCAGAAAGGGATGGGAAAAAATTCTGATGTCTGCATAGACAAGAAGGAGTTAATGCTTGTCGAGCATTATTCTTATACAAATTAAGTCCAGAGCACAGCAGCAGCCTCACCAGCAGGAGCAGATGCTAGGCAGTGATGCAACCTGTGTTATTTACTTAGGCCTCTGTGGTGACCTCTGTGGCTTGCAGACAAAGGATAGTTGTATCTGGAGGTAGGTAGCATGCTGATACCTTCTTTATTCAGTTCTTTTTCTTTTATTGTGAGCAAGCTCCTGTAAGCCTCTTGTGTGGAGCAACAGGGGGACTGTGTATTTTTAGCCTGGTTTCAGAAGGCGGGGGAAGAAGCCCCCAGAGAACTGATTGGGATTTGTGTCTGGGTTTGTACCAAAATTACCAGGAACGTTTAGAAGCCATGATGCGCCGGTCCCTCGAACGCAGCCAGCAGCTGGAGCAGAAGCAGAAGCGATGGTCGTGGGGAGGAGCACTGGCTGCAGGCTCAGGAGGCAGAGATGGTAAGTGAAACAGGCTGCCTGCATTGCAGATCTGGAAGTGCAAAATGCATGAGATTGTGGAGATAGTAAGTATGATGGGTTTATAGTCAGGGTGGTACCGCAGGGGCTACTGCCTTGGGGTGTGAATAAGTGCTTTGTAATTGCTTGCCGGGCTTCCTCTCCCTAATACCTTCTGTGGAGACAGGTTCCTCTGAACTTTAGGAATGTAGATAATTCTAACAGAGTAACCAGAATCAGTTTGAGAGATGCTAAATGCTAAAATTAATATTGATGCACTGTCTCCCTTAATAGCTTCTTCCACATTGTCTTCCCATGCACACAGTTAGCAAATTTAATATTCACTAAACGACTGAGTGCTGTTTAAGGCTTGAAAAAGATGTTTTGTTTTTGTTTGGTACTTCTAAAAACCTGATGGGAATTTCTAGATGACTATGCAGCATGTGCAGTTTTAAATAGTTTGAGTTTTTTCCCCACGTACGTTCTGTTACTGCTATTTTTGCTTTGGCTTCAGAGGAAATTCTTTTTATTACATAATGAGTCATGTGCTGCTTTTATATTTCAGAAAGATGCATGTTTTCTCTTTTAAATCATATAATTTATTTGAAATTTTCAGGTTTGAATAAACTGATGTTATAGGGAAAAACATCCATATTTGGGTGTTGATGAAATATAACAATTACTCTCTTTTAAATAGTGTATAAGTATACTTAACTTTAAAAAGACAAACTGTTTTATGTCATAGTTTTCATGATATGTCATTAAAAAAAGCCAGGAAATTATATATATAATAATGAAGTCTCTTATACTTGAGAAAGAAACCAGTTTTCTTTGTGATGCAGTTTGTGCTTAATTCCAGCTCCCCCAACTTATTCAGTAATTTCTTTCACCTCTTTTTGCTCTGATTTCTCTGCTGTGTAGGTGAATCAGAAAATACCCCACCCCCTGTTCTAGGTTTAGCTGCCAACACCCTTCCTCCAGACCCTGTGACCTCCACTGCTCCTGCTGATTCCTTCAATGGTATTTCAGAGAATCACAGTACCATCGTGTCTTGTTTATAACTGTTCTAATCACTGTAATCCATCCACTGATCTTGTTCTTCTTAACCACTGTTTTCTCATCATTTCAGCCTGATACTTTACAGCATTACCCTTAGTGATGTAGACCAGTGTCTTTTAATTTCCTTGTAATTTTGCCATGGTGGAGCAGTGCATGCCTCACATTCCAGCACAGAAGAGGCATTTCATGGTTTTCTTTGTAACTGTAGATTTCTCCTGATCAGATTCTCATCTTTGTTAATTCTGCAGGTGCTCTGTGTGTGTGTGTAATTACACATACTTGATAGTTCTAATGGATGTGCACAGGTGCTGTTGAGAAAATTTTCAGTTGAACAGTAAGAAAATGTGTTATGAAGACCAAAAAAAGGCCCTCTTTTTCCGTCTCAAGGGCCTTCTCCTGCAATATTTTGAAAACAGGCGAATTTGATGCAAACAGCCATGTTATGTTTTCAGCTTCCTAGAATGAAGTTTGACCAAGCTGGTATTTGTAAAAAACTCAAGTGGTTTACTTTGTTTAAGCAACCATGTTTTAAATTGTTCGGGTTTGGTTTTGTTTTGGGGTTTTTTGTGGGGTTTTATTTGTGTTTTATTTTTTTAATTGTTATTCCCATAAAAGGGCTCTGAAGTAGATGAGTTGTCCAAAATTACAAGTGGATTGCGTATAGGATTTCAAATTGAAAATGTGATTTGATTTTATTGCAAATGTACTTGGCATTTTGAAAAGAATACACAGCCTGTGCTTTTGAGAAGTAGGTTCTTTCTCTCCCCCAAAGGAGGAGTCAAGCTTGGCTATTACTCCTGCAGAATTCACAGTAAATATTGTTCTGTCTATGATCTCACAGAATTATTATTTCTGTGCAAACAGATTCAAATTTTTTACTGATTGTTGTTCATGTGCAAAGGTATTTGCCTGTGCAACTGATGATTTGCAGCATACCAGCATTATATCTGTTTTTTTAAAAAAGGAAATGTAATGAATTGCATTGTTTACTGTAGTAGATGGAGGCAAATTTTGGAAACCCCACTAAGGCAATGATTTGATGGACATAATTGGGAATGCAGTGACTTAGGAGGTGCAGAATTAGGGTCACATACATGTCTCTAGCTGAAAATATTTTTGGTTTTGAAAGAAATAAAATTCAAATGTAGGGGACAAAGCATCTGTGCTTTTAGCTTCTGAGTATCATACAGTGATCACCAGGTACTAGTAATCTATACTAATACTTGAGTAAAATTCCTCTTTCATTCAGTTGAATAAATCCTAAGGTAGAAAATGGATATTATGCTCAAGCAGATTTTATCAAATAGTGTTTCAGAAGAAAAATATACCAAAAAAACTGGACTTTTTTTTAGTTTTTCTCAAGCACAAAATGTTAAAGCCAAATGGCTAATGCCAGCTCAGTCATTAAAACAATGAGGTCCTATATAGAAGCACAAATGTTGGTTATTTCATTTTCTTATTAGAGTAATGTCTGATGTGAAATTCAACTCTTCCAGACTGAAGGTAGAAGGGAGGGGGAATGAAGATGAGTTCAGAGTTGCTGTGTGGGGTTTGTTTTCTTTGGACAACTTTATGCTTGTGCTGATATATAATTATTTATCAGTGTCAGTATAAAAAACAGGCTGATGTGAAACTGGAATGTTAAATTCACAAGCATAAAAGTTGCATGCCAAAGCATGTGTCATAGAGTGCTGGTCCTCAGTGGTCAGAAAGAGCTCATCTCGTGCCAATTCAGTGTTGTGATCAGTGCAAGAGCCACGAGTACAGATGCAAGGTTAATTTTGGAGTTTATCACCACTGTGGTGTGAATACAAATATCTTCAATGCATTTCTCTGCAGCATGCGACAAACTTTCAGCTTCTACAATGAATCTGCCAAAGCAAATGGAGTCGCCGATCAGTAAACGCCTCTCATCCTCCACAGTGGCCATAACGCATTCCCCCGACAGAGGCAAGTGAACGTGCTGGTCTCCTGCCAGCATAAACTCTCCTTCTGCTTAAAGCACTTCTGGTCCATAGAGCTTTGGGGTTTGCTTATGTCTGTTATTCAAAGGAACTCAAACATCTGAGAGATTCTGTATTAATAACATGGTACTGCAGCCTGTCCCAAAGCTGTGCTGCCATGCTGGAGATCATAGTCCAGCAACAAATGCCATGAGCTTTTTACTGATGCTTTTCCAAATTTTGATACTCCAGCAAACTGGGTTGTAAGTCCAGGCTGTGACTGCAGCAATTTCCTATAACTGTACTGCTTGTGGCCTTCTATCAAAATAAGGAAAAAGAAGCAAAGCAAAGGTGTGGCCTGGCGGTAGATACGGGATGTTCCATATGTAGGCATACATCTCATGAGCCACCTGGGAGACTTCAGTCTGGTGACCAGAGTTGTAGAGCCCATTAATTTCTTACAAAACTCTGATCCTGAAGTGACTCCACAAAAGATGATCATCTTGTAGGATTAGTGGTTGCTAAACACTACAAAGAGGACTGAAGAGTTTATCTCACTGTGAACTCTTTTGATTTTTTTAGGTTTATTTTATGTTTGCTTATTTCTTTCTACCCCATTTTTTTTAAGTCTAATGGGAAAAAATATATTTACTGAAATAAATTATGAAGGCTTGTTTCTGGAATGAAAAAGAGAAGGTAAATTTATTTTAATTTTTGAATTGCTTAAGGTAATCAGAAGCTTTGAAGTTATTATGACAGATGGCTATATATACATGTAATAGGAACACCTATAAATATGTCTTATATAGTTGACACTTATATTTTTGGAGTAGGAAGTAATGCAGGCATATTGTGTAAATAAGACTTACATAACATGGTGAGATGGCAGATTTCAAATGCAGTCCCAGCATGGATGGCACATTAGTGAGCAGCTGCTCTGATCTACCAAGTGTTTTACCTTTCCTGCTGGGGAATAAGACAAACTTCTTTTGTGGTGAGTCATGAAAGCAACCATTTTGTAGAATGGAACATGCCTCTGAGTAAAAACAAAATACAACATGATCTTAACCTTAATGGGTGAAATGTATAAGTGGGAAACTTAAAACAGTGGAGAAATTATAAGGTTTTTTTCAGAGGGAATGAAAATTATCATTAAGTATTTTAAATCTCAAAAAGTTCAAGAATTTTTTGTCATTTCATTTAATCATTTCATAATTTTATTTCAGTTATTTCAATGTAACATTGTTTTATTTATTTACATTTTAAATTTTATTTTATTTGCTCCCATCCTTCAGCTCACCGCATGCATCTTAGTCCAGTGGAAAACTTTATTGTTTCTCGACTGCTGACTCCCACACAGTCATCTTTAGCCAGAAGCAGAAGTACATTAATGCTTTCTGAGCAGTACAATACTCCAGGTAAAAATGTGACTTCCTCACTTTGAAACCACTGAGGTATGTTTTTAGCTGCATTTATGTAGCTGCTGGAAGAAATGGAGTACTATGAAACAAATGGCAATTTACAGGATAGTACAAAATCAATGATGAACCAAGTTGTTTCAGATAGCAATGTATTTAAAATCTTTGAAAAGCACATTGTCTTTTCTGTGCTATTCTGAATATTTTAGAAAAAATTCATTAAAACTGCAGACTATAAAAAAATACTATATTCATTTAAGAAACAGGTTTTTAGACAAGGATGTGACAACTCTCAGAGGCTTTGATTGATTTATTAACGTCAGCCCTGTCATACCCAAAGAGTATGTAGAACAAAAATCCCAGTGCACCATTGAGACTTAATTATTTTTACCAGGGTTCCAGTGTCTATCTATTAAGTATATTTATGCCTTTTACTCTGTGTGTGTGATATAGGTGCAGATACACATATGGAAAAACAGACTACTGATAGGAAGGTGTCAGTTCCAGAAATTATTGATCTTTAAGGGATGATAGTTACCATTCGTGTGTGTAAAGGGTAGACTAATAAAACCATTATTTTGCAAACATCTACAAAAATAATGTTTCCAGTCCTGCTAATACTTGGGCAAGTGCCCGACTTCAAATAGTTTCTGCTTATAAAGCCATACTTGGTCATAGCATTGGCTGAAACAAGACAAAAGTTTAACAGCCCTTTATACTTTTAATAGAACAAACAAAAAAAGTGCCCCAAAGCACTCACCTGTCTGCAAAAGGAAACACTTTTCCTGGATTAAACTATTTAGATGATAAAAGACTGATCATCTTTACCATAAAGTGTTTTAACATGTCTTGGTTAAATAGGCTTAAGTTCTGCATCTGTGCTTTTCATGCAAAGCTATTTAGATATGAATTGCTAAGTAAACCTACTTTCCCTTGTGCTTTACTTCTCTGTTCAGTGCATAGGGACATTGCTACTGAATGCCTCTAAAATTGCATCCCTTGTTTCTACATTAAAACCAGCCTCTACTGGAAGCAGAAATGTTTTCATATAGTATTTGAGAAAGTGCCAGTTTGGTTACTGCTCAGGGAGCAGCTACTGTCAAGAGTGAGCAAAACCCAAGTCAAAATTAGATTAGTACGTTCTGCTTAAGATTTTGAGCTGAATTGCCGAGGCCACCTGTGGTTTATTTTTTTCTGTTTTGTATTTGAAAGCAAAGAAATCAATAAGGATTACTTTTGTCCTTCCTCACTCATTTTGTTTGTAAACTCTCAGGTTTATCTCTCTTCATCACAGAATCTTTAAAGTAATACACTTGCATGTCTGACAAGGGTACAATATGTTCTAAAAACTGCTTTTCATTGAGCTGAAACAGGGCATCTGATTTTGGGAACAGCTTTTTGAACAAGCATCCTCTTGTCATTTTACCACAAGGCAATTAGGTTGTAGCACAGGTTACAAACAACACTCTCAGAAGCCATTGAAATTTTGTCAGTAATTACCAGCAAAACAGTTGAGGGGCATCTCCCATTTGTCATGTACTTCTCACCATAGAAATAGCTTCTGAAAAAAGAAGAGGGATCTTCCTTTCCAGGAGCTCATGCTGTGCCTCCTGTCATTATGCTGGGGTCAAAGTTGCTCTGCTACTGCATTTTCTGTAAGCTTAGAAATGAGGAGCCTCAATTTCAGACTCTACAGCAACACATTATTAATGTCACTCGAAGTCAAGGTATTCGGGCAAGCAAGTGTTACTGGATGCATAATTAATTTTTTTAGCAGTTGAAGTAAAAATATTTCTCTTAAGCAGGTTTTAAGTTTCTAAATGTTTTTGTTAATATATAGTGACCTTATGCCGCTTGGCTGTAAAGTGGGTCAAAGAATACAAAGGTCCAGTTAAACTTCAAAGCATTCAAAAGAGCGTCATGAAAATTTTATTAGGGCTGTCTCCAGTAAAAAATTTGGGAATGTGACTTTCTTTATATTAGTGCATAATTGCTGCTTTTTCAAAGTCAATGACTCCTGACTTTAGTTGACTAAAATTGGAAACATTCTATCACTTGATTGCAATTAGTGTCTGTCTTATTGATAAAACATATAGTCTCTTGATTGTTCTATATGTATGTGAAAGTTTCATCTTAGAAAGGCAATATGAACAAAATCAGGAGTAAAATATCCCATTTTAAAAAATCCTGTTCATATTGCAAATAAATAAAAGTTGCCCTATAATCTGTAATGCATGTGTCACACTCAAATTGATGTCTCCCTCAAATAAAACTAACTGAAATACCTACCGCAGCATTTAGTTTAGGTTTGGAGGCTTTTTTGTAAATTTTTTTTTATTAATTATTTGGAAAGTAATTAACATATTTAGGAGCCTTTGCATGTTTAGGGTTTAAAAAAGACAAAATTCCCTAAGCTTTTGTCACCTTTCCTGTTTTGCAGTATGTGTTCAAAAGTCACTCAGTTAGCATTATCTGCTTACTCTTTTTATCATATGCAAAGGAAGCTGGACTTCTTAGAAGAAAAAGGAGTCACAGTATTAGTCACGGTATTAGAACTGGTGATTCAAAAGGTGTATGAGGAAAATAGTATTATATTTTAGAGATAATTTTTTTCCTATAAAATGTTTCAGTTGAGACATTTTTAACAAATATGGGATCATATTGAATCATTATATGTGATATTTTAAAACACTAAAAAATGCTTTAAAACTACCTTTGGACATTATAACATAAAAGTATGCTGTTTTCTCCCCTCCTTTACTTCCTCTATCCGTACTCCTTTTTGCTCTTGCTGTTGTACTATAACTCTTTAGTATTCCATATCTGTCCCCGTGTAGCACCAGCTAGTCCTCTTAAATCTCCCTACAAGCCTTCCCCCACCCGAAGCACTGACAGGAAGAAGGCAACTTCACCCTCCACTGCCAATGCCATGAAAGGGGCACCTGCAGCTGAAGTTACTCAGGTGAGTTTGCAATGGTTTTGGTTTCACTGTTGGGTAAACTGATGCAGCTTCTGCTTGTTATCTTTCCCTTTACATGAATACAAATGAAGTGCTTTCCCTGCTATAAGAAAAAGCAGAAGAGAAGTAAGCCCTGCCAACACCTGTTGTCTTTGTGCTCCTGTTAAGGAGCATTTTAATATCTTCTTCCTCCTGGGAATCAGTGCTGAGTGCTGGTATTGGAACACAGTACCCCCATTTGCAGAGAACTGAGGCACTGAAGTGTATGTTTTTGGACTTGCTTATAACTTCTGGGAATGGAGATGACAAATAGAATTCCCTCCTGAGTATGGCTATCCAGGCTTGCTGGTTAATGAGCAAGCTTCATATATTTCAGAAATTCCCCAAGTGTATTGATAATGCCTCTGTTTTACACCAATTGCTTTAACTCTTTCTGTGGACATTATTAATGCTGTTTGCTTAAAAGATGCATTATCCACCATAGTTCCCAGAAAAGGCAAGTCACACACCTTTACTGAGTCTACACAGATATTCACATAAGGTCCTGTATCTTGTAATACTTAATGATAGGGGGATTCATGCCACCTAAATTAGCTGCAAGTGGGAGAACCAAAGCTGGGAGTAAAGATTTGTGTAGTGTGATTCTTAGTGTGATTCAGTGTTACATGCAGCAACTGTGAGATGCCGGGTTGCACTGCTGATCATGTCTAAGCAGGGGCATATGGATGATTTTGAAGATTCCACCCGGTGCCACCACCCAAGAACTCTTGCAGAGGCTCTGATGAGCATTACTTATCTGAAATTTGCATGCTCTGCCTCTGCAAGACAGGGATAGGTGTGTGATATGTCTATGTAAAATAAAAAACTATTAACGGCACCTCACTTGTGAGCTGCCTGTTTAAAAAGCTTTTACAAGTGTGCCACACAAATCTCTTTATATGCCATCTTGCTAATAAAACAATCAAATGCATTTTTGATTTATTGATCCTAATTATGGCAATTAAAATGAACTGTGCTTCTAGACTGAGAAGATAAAGAAGGAGAAGCGACCTGCAACACCTGGTTCATCATCTGGTATGGGATCTCCTCTCAGAAGGTCTGATTCTCCTGCTGCCATGTCCAGAAGATCTGCATCACCTGCAACACCTAAGTATGCCTTTCTTATTAGTGGACAAATATCCTGTGAATTTCTCATTACTGTAAATAAGGCATAGATTCCTGAGGAACTTCCTTTGAAGTCTTGTATAAAATCCAGTTAATTTTACTAATGCATACACACATATACAGATGGGTGAGAGGAGAGGTGTAGATGACAAATCTGATATTTCTGTTAGTACCCACTAGAGACAGTTCTCTCTACCTTTTCTCAGTTTGAGATTACAGTGCATTTCATTATTCATATGAAATTTTACTTCACATTTATTTTTAAAGATGCTTTTTTTGTTTGATTTTGAAGAAACTGCCTAATGTGAAGAAATGCACTCATCATGAATACTAACTAGAAATTCCAGCATTTAATATATGCATTTCCTATTGTTGGCATGACCATCTGGTGCCATAAATACATTTAACTATGTGTCATCTAAACCATTGGTTTTAACCTTTGCTCATTTGCAGACCTCTGTGGTTTTGTTGCACCTTTTGCTTTTACTTTTTTGTTTTTTTAAAGGCAGAGTTGTGGATCTGTAGCATGTCTGGCTATATCATATATTACTGACAACTGACTTGCTTTTCTTGATTGTCTTTTGCTGTAAACTGTATTATGTGTACCACAGCTTGAAAGTCAAGTCTAAGCAAATGGGTCTTCAGGTTTCTTAGAACAGGATAGTAAGTCTGGCTCTAATGTAGGAGTATGCTAAAGTAGTCCTGGTCTACAGTACTTGCCTAATTTATTTGGATGGTTGATTGGTTTGGATTTTTTCCTTTAGACCTTGTTTGTGGGTGCCACTTCTGTCTTGAAAATTGTCTTATTTATCTTTTTAAATCTGAAGCTGGCCATATTTTGAATCAGGCTTGATGGTTCCCTTTCTGACAAATTTCTTCTGCCTGAAAAAACCAGCTGGTGTTCCTTTTCTGTTTCAGCTCTGAGGGCATAGCCCTTTAGTGGGGGATGATTTTGTGTGTGAATCCGATGTTAGACAACATAAGGAAACCATCTGACTCTGAGCATTCTTTCTGCTTTAAACATCCCCTTGTATGTAACTGGGACACTGCATTTCTTGGTTTTTCTTAAAAGGCTGCAAATTCTCAAACTTCCAATATTATATATGTAATGTCATCAGATTCTGTGGTGTGAACTACATCCATTTTATGAAAAATTGAATGAAATGCAATGGTAATGACAGTCAGCTTTCTTATTACATTTTTGACCAGATCGTCTAGTGCCACTCTGCCATGTAAAGTTAAAAAAAAAGTTTGAGCTCTAAGACTGTATATTATTCTGCAAGTACTTATACTCCCTTCTCAGAATGCATTTTGTAGTTTGTTCAGCCAGTATAAGAGACAAACCAGGAGAACCCACCAAGAGACACATTTATTTAAGCAAAATTATTGGTGGGAAATTAATTAGTTTAGAGTCAAGTGCTGCTTACTGGGCAGGCAAAGGTTAGTGCAGATCATCAGAGAAATGTCCAGTGGTTAAAGAAAAAAATTACTGGGAGACAGCTCTTTAGTGTTTCATGAAAAAGGTATGCCCAGTCTTAATTTGAAGCACTAATTTCCATAAAAGATTAGGAAATTATGGAGAATTTTTTTCCCAGAGGTGCAAATCATGATAACCTTTGTACAGTAAAATGTTTTCATGCCTATAAGGAATACTGTTTTTAGAAGAAGAAGTGGATGCTGCATGGAGGAATTAAGAAACCTAATGGTGGGTTTCCCTGTGACTGTGAGCCAAAGTAGGGATCCCTTCCCCCCACCCTTCTCTTTGTCACGGAAATGTGATTTTGATCGTGGCTAGAAATATATTACCAAGCATTTAATCTTAACATGGCCCAATTAGAACACCCTTCTTGACCTTATGAGAGATACAGTAAATAGAGTTTAAATCCATGTTTATTACTGATTGCAGAGAGTTCTGCTTCAGCACTTTCAAAACTTCCCCTCATAATTCTAAAATAAAGAAGTGCCCTAATGACCATATTGTATTATTATATATAGATGACAATAGTGATAATATATGCATTTTTTTCATACAATTCAAATTCCTCTGTTAATTTTCATTGAGGAGATAAGATTGTACAGTCTAGAGGAAGGTTCCAAAAGCCTTACTGCCTTTTAAATCCACTGACCAGTAAGATCATTGTATGACATTCAGGTATAATTTTAGTCTGACTAAATATGTATACAAATACTCATTCTCCTTGCAAACCTAACAATCTTTTGCATGTTTAATCTTTCTCGTTGTAGCACACTATATGACTGAAAAAATACCCTGGAAGAAATAAGCATACATATTGAACAGCATTAGTAGTTAGTGATCCTGCATAGCACCTTAACCTCTAAAACTGTTGAGGAAAGAATCAAGTATAGTATAGTTGATCAAGTATAGTAAAGTATATGTACATGATAATCAGCTGTATGCATTTCTTTTCTTAAGAATATGTGACTTGGCATTCAAGTTTTCTTGGTATTGTTCTAGTTGCCACTTCTTCACAGTTGTCATCTTGGTTTCTGAGTGGCAGTAACTGGTCGTCTTAATATGTTATTTAATTATTTATTAAATAAAAAGCTCTTGGTAAAGTAACTGAAACAGGATCAAACAAGACAATGTTCTCTTCAGCCTAAAGAGACCCATTAATCAATGGCAGAAGAGAGTTGCAGTAATTATATAAATAAAATAACTAATGTTTTGGATGGGCAAATTTTACTGAGAAAGCAAAAAAGGTCTGCCCAAAAACATAACATCTGAGACAAGTGAACAGATACAGATGTAAAAAGGAGAAAAGGGGGAAAATCCAAATATGCTGAACAACAATTAAAAGCAGGAAAGGAATTAAAAATTTGATGTTATTTGGAAAATATGTCAATAAATGTCACAGAAAGAAATACAAAACTATTATTTTGAATCTTAACGTGGACCAGCTGAATAAGATGAAAATTAATGGATTGGAGAGTTTGAACAATTGAGAAATTGTCTTTAATTTTTTTCAGTTGCTATTGGATACTGATGGCGTAAAGTGCTCATTTTCTTCAGCTCTTTCACAAGATCAATAATAACAGGATGAGGGGTTTGGGTAATTTTTTGTTTTATGCTTCCTCTTCAAAGATCTGTACATTAATTGGGTTATTCTTGCAGTATCCCTCAGAGAATAGGTAAGTGTGCTTTCTTATAGATCAGGAAGGCAGTAAAGCCTGTGTCCTTCACATGTCTTTGGGTAAATAGTCCCTAAATAAATCAATGGCACCTGCCTGAATCAAGGAAGTAGGATTTAGTTTTAAGTGTCTTCTAATGAGCCACAGTGTAAGCCAGTGAATAAAACTGAAAGCTCTGACAAGCCTCTGTGTCACATTCTTTTGCCAAAGCATAACCTCATGAGAGAAGGAGAAAGGGACAGGTGACTGATGAGTGATGCTGCTGATGGGTGGTGGCTCATGTTTCCTGTCCAGATGCAGACTGGTCACTGTCCTTTGTTCATGGTTTCACAAACTGAACCCCTTATGTGGTGGTTCTGTTGGGTGGCAGCCCCTTGTAGCCTGGGGGAAACGCTTTAGATGTCAGAAATGTGCATGCTCAGTCAAATTGCAGAATACTGATGGAATGTGAACATAGACTAGTACAAAAAAAGTGTCCCCCAAACTCGTAAAATGTTTAAAAATGAGTTATTGGAAAGGTGTCTACATGTGGTGAATTCCCCACAGAGGTAGCTTCTGTGTCCTACAGTGACCCGTTTGAGATTTTATTTTGTATTTGCTACATTTACTATTCTTTGTGTTGACTTAGGAAGATGAAACAATGGGTAGAATGTTGGATCAAGACTATTTTGAGGGATTTTTCAGCAGTTAGGTAGATAATGGGCCAGTTCACCATTTTGAAACATCTGTAACAATGCAGCTATTCAAAAAACTGTTCTAGAGACCTATGCTGAGTTTCTTCTCTTTTAAGAAATGTAAAAGAGAAATTAACCTGTCTTTGGCCACAAAAGATTAAAACTAAGAGTGAAAGAAAAATGCTTTTGGGAAAGTGTCAGAGATAGAGCGAAAATGTCAGAACCCAGAAATAGCTTGTGACCAGAGCAATATCAGAAAGCAGGCTTGAGAACATGCAGGTCCTTGGTGTGGTTTCAGCAGTTTGTGTTGAATTAAAGGAGAGAAAGGGGGAAAATAATGAAGCTCTGGCATTGCTGAAGATTTCTGCTTTACAGTCAGCCTCATGAACAGCCATAACCAGTGACCTGACACATAGCTGGCTTTTCAGGACAGCATGCTGTTCTCTGCCCTGCTCTTTATGGCCAGAGCTGGGTGTGACCTCTCATTTGTGTGCTACATCTGCTTTATATTCTCTGCTTAGCAAAAGTGAGCTCAGAACCCCTCGTATGCTCTTCCTGAGACATTGGTCTGCAGAATGGACTATCCCTTTTGTAATTGGAGACATGGTAATTAAGAATCATTGGATCCTCACACCTGATAGATGTTCTGTCAGAGCATGTAGGGCGCAGCTTCTTTCATGCTGCTGCCCTCATGTCAACTCAAGGCAGTTAAGACATTAGTTAATGTTTTCTTGGAGAGAGGAAGGTGCTTCTGTATTCCCCTGTAAAATCCAGGTACTGAGAATGAGTAAGCTGTCTGACAACTGACAGGCTGCCACTTCTTGCACTTTAATGATTTGTCATCTTAATACTCTGATCCTTATCTGGTGTAATTCTGTGTTTCCCACTTTCTTATCATGGTTTAAACCTAAACAGGCTCCTATGCAAGTGATTATAAATTTTTTTCTTAATAATTCCATTTTTCTGCCTTCTCAATCAAGTTTGGCTCTTTTTGGTGTAAAGCAGCATAACTTAAATACTATTTTGAAGGAGTGTTTTTTCCAGTAACAATTCTGCCTGTGTCAAGGATTGTTAAAGATGCTAAGTTGAAAGTATGTTTTAAATACAAGGTGGAAAACAATGTTAATTTAATACTTTCTACTGGCATCCAGTAAATGATATAAAAATTCTGAAAAAATATTCCTGATGAACTTTCTCAGGTTTGCACACACTGCATTATTCTCATCCTTGCAGTAATCAATCTTCTATTTCTCTCACTTTTAGCTACTCTATATGAAACTCTACTATTTTCTTGTTGTTCTGGTCTAAGAGCCTGTAGCATTTTGGTTAAAAAAATACTGTAGGTCAAAAAGTTCAAAGATGCAGTAGTTAAATAATACACTCAGCACATGTTTCTAATCCACCAGTTGAGTTGTACAACCAGTCTGCTCTAATGCCTATGCAGTGCAAGATATGTGGCACTCATGACTAGGCTGCTTCCTACCGACCTCTTTGATTGTCATGTCTTTATTAGAGAACAATTACTTCTCTACTAATACTGAGAATGACTCAGCCTCAGTTATTAACCTGTTTTGCTCCTTCTGTCACAACAAGTTAAATCAAAAGCATTGCAAGGAATGTGCAGTAAAGTTGGAAATGTGAACCAAAGACAGTGAGAAGGGAACTCTGCTTTGAAGAAGTGTCTAATTAGCAAGAAGCACCCTCTGTGCTGCAGAAAAACATAAGAAAAATGTTTTCTATTTACCAATTTTATATTTATGAAATGCAGTTGGAAATGACTGCAGTGATGAGACGCATGTGAGATACATAAGTGTAGGTGGGGCCTTGAAATCTGCCTTTGCTGTCAGAAGGACCTGGAAATGTAACTATATCCTAAAGAATCTAAAGGCAATGCTAAAACCAGATTTGGTCAACACAACCAAACTCACTGGCTTCTCCCATTGCTATTGTTTTCAAGAACTGGAATCAGGCTTGCCTGTTCACATCTTCCAAAGCCTGCTTCTGTTATGGAACAGGAGGAGTCGTGGGTGGCAGCAGGGCAGATAAGGACAGGGACCTTGCCCACAGCACCCCATCCCAAGGCAGGCAATGGAAGTGACCAGGGTCAACCAGGGACCCAAGGACAGCCACCAAAGGCCTTACTGAGGGAAGGCCAAGGACAAGCCAGGACATCGTGTCAGGATCAGCAGGTTAGGAAGCCAAGAAGAACAGGCTTACCTACAGCTGAGCTCAGCTAAGGACCAAGGGCGAGGACCTGAGCTGACAGGAGCTCCTGGGCCTGCGGGCAGGGGGTACCTGAGTTGAACTTCAAATTTAGTTGGGTGCTACTGTTCCTGCAGCCTGAGGGCTTTTGGACTCTTGGTGGCTCTTCAGTGGGAGTAAGAAAGTAGGGATGGTGCAATACGCTAGAGTGTTTTCCTCCCCACAAACCAGGCAGCTCTGAGTGAGCTCCTTGTAATCTAATGTCTCAACCTCTTTCAAATGCAGTCTAATATGCTAGAAAAGAACCCTTTTCTCTACAGAATTCATGAGTTTGGGGAGGAGTTGAAAGATGTCTTGTTTTTGTCTGCTCTGTAATGCAAATGCTGTTCTAGTTATAATAGTCTCTGACCACACAATACTATAGTTAGATCTATACAAAACTTGACACTCCAGTCCATTAATTTTCAGCTGTTGTTCATGTTTTTTATGCTTGTGGTCTGCCAGAATGAGTGTATAGTCCAGAAAGCATGTTATGGTATATGAAACTCTATATAGTGTAGATGAAAAAAGTGATAAGGGATAATCCATTTATATCATAATTACATATCCAGGAAGAAGGTTAGAAATATATTGCAATGCTCACTTTAATGTAATATAATTTATTCTAATGAGACATAAATCATTATTTAAAGATTGTAATCTCTTTATTCTTATACTATGTAGTCACACATCCCCACCTTTTTTAATGTTACAAGTGCTAGATACTGCTGTTACATAAATAATGAATGGTGTTTGTGTGTAGTTTTATGTTTCCTGGTAATCTTTCTCTTTATATGCACCTATTTTCAGTGAATATCAGGTATCTTTACCCTTCCACTTTCACAGAAGTGACTTCACCTGAAGTGTGTGGCAGCCAGATGAGCAATGGGCTGTATTGCTGCTGTGCATCGCCATCCCCACAAGTGCAGCGTGTGAAAAGCTGCAGGGGCTGAGTGTGGAGTCTAGAGTCTGTTGTGTTGTTGCTGAAAAAAGCACTAACTCAAACAGCACTGTTGACAGTATAATGGTTTGATCAGTTCTGTCTCTTTTAGTAGTACACAGCCTTCCCTTTGTATATGCTGGTATTTGTGCTTTTTGGAAAATGAGATACAATTAGAAAAAGACCATGGTTGGCAAGGTGGTATTCAGATGAAAGCAGCACACTTGTAGCTCATTATGATTTCTACAGATAGAGAGCAGCCATAGTTTTGGTTTAGTTATGGAGAAGGACTGTAGAAACAGTAAAGTTGGCAGAATTCTTTTGGAATGGTCATTACGAAAATCATTGGTTTAGGCAGTCCACAGATTCCTATCTCTCACCTAGACCTTAGGCAGTGTTATTGGTTTATTTTAATGAGACTTTTCTGTATTCATGTACACTTCTATATCAGTTCCATGCATTTTAAGTTTTGATTGAATCCAGTGGTTCTTTTCAGTATTGTGCAAAACAGCTGATACTTCTCTGTAGCCAGAGACAAGAAAGAATAAGAAATGTGAAGATGGAGTTTGATTCCAAGCTAACATCTGTGTAACATCTGGCCTTGTTTGATTTTTATTTTCCCTCATCAGGACAGTTGCAAAGACTTATCCTCAGTCTCCTAAAAATACCAAACAATATCCAGCTTCTCCTGTGAAGCATCGTGCCACTTCCAATATCAGCCAGGAAACACCTAAAAAGAAAGCAGACAAGGAGAAAGAAAATGTCAGTCACCTGAAGACCCCAGGAGCACGCACTGAGGACATGGGCCAGGTGACTCCTGAGAAGCACGTGCCTTCTGCTGGAAAGCCTGAGAACAGTGAAGGTGAGTCTTACTGCAAGATGTTAGTGCAGGGTATGATGGGTCCCTGAGACTTTAAAATGGTGGTGAGCTGTTCTTTTCATGAAGCTGTTCAGTCATAGGCTTATGAGAATGTGTAAAGATACATACTGGAACCTGTAAATACTCAGTTTTCACTAATATACCAAAAGTCAAATGTACCAATTGTTAATGAAGATGAGAAAATGCTGACATCCAGGGATGCCCTTATCTATTCCATCTTCTTTCTGCTGAAAATGCTAAAAGGTGCTTTTAAAAAGGTGTCTTGCCACTCTGAACCAGGCCCATTTTGGCCTCTGTATGAACCTGGAATTGCTGTGCACTCTCTGTTCCCTGCCTGACTTTCCACCCTTGGTTGTCTTCTCCTAGGGAAGATCACAGCAGGAACAAGTGATGCAGAAGAAGCTGCAAAAATTCTAGCTGAAAAAAGACGACAGGCCCGCCTGCAAAAAGAACAAGAGGAAAAGGAGAAACAGGAAAGAGAAGAACGAGAAAGGTCTCTCTATTGCTTTGTGAAAGTTATAATCTAATAATTTAACCTGTATCACTGAAGATGCTTGAAAATGTGGTAGTTTTGGAATCAAGCTAGATCTTACATGTATTTGTTAATTTCTTTAATTTCAGACTAATATTTCACTAGTGTCTTTTGCAGTCTCTGTGATTAGTGAAGTTAAAAAATAATAATTTGGCCTCTTCAAGAACCCTGAATAAACTATTACTTTTCCAAATACTTCAGTCATGTCCTTGCTGAAGGGTACTGCACACTGGAGTGTGGACACACCTGAAGTATTTTACATTGTAAAAAAATTTTTAGGTGGCTTTAAATGAGCTAGATTACGTAGCAGAAACAGTCTTGCAGCAGCAGGATATGCATTAAATGGCAAAGCTTGAGTCATTCATAATTAACCTGAAGTTCATCTTCCTGCCCAACTCTGCTGCAGGCACTGAGGGCTGAGTGTGGGCAGAGTGAAGGTTGCTGTCTGAGCAGTGAAGTTGTGGCTCTGTTCTGGGAACAGGCTTTTTGGTGGTTCTCCACATGTGATGCTGGTTGCAAGTGTCAGCAAATCATGCACTTCCTTCAACCCCCTCATAGTAAATCACTAATTCTGCATGTCTAGATTCAACTTTGGATTTTCTTACTACAGACACAGTGAATGGGGTTGAAGTGTGGAACAGAACTCTCCAGATAGTTAAAGTTAAAAAGGGGTGTGTTTATTGACAGCACAGACACATGTCATGTCCCAGAGACATGTGCAAAGAATCACAGCCTCTGGCTCTCTATTTATCTAAAAAGTCTTACATATTAATATAATTCCCAAAATGCCTAATACATATTCATTACCTAACCCCATCCACCGTGGTTCATATTAAACTGTCATAGTATAACTGAGCCCAAGGTTCCTTCAAGCTTACGCAGTCTTTCACTTCAAATGGGCCGGTGAGTTTTGAAATAGGTCGTGGTCTTCAGAGATCAAAATGACCTTTTACTTTTGCCTTGTTGGCAGGTTTTGGACCCCTTGGCTGTAGCTCAGGTTTCAGGGCCCAGGTTCAGGCTACAGTCCTCTTCTTTCTCACAATTAAATCTGCATCCCATTCTGTTCTTAAAACATAGTAAAGATAGGCAGGTGATATATCACTCTAGCCTTAACTATTTTATCTGCTAATAATTAACCATCCCTTATTGTTTCTGTTCTTCTTGCTATACTCTTAATTGTTTCTATCCCCCCTAACTAAATCTAGTTACACTTTCAACTCTTTCAGTTTCTTTAAACCCTTGATTCAAGGTGTGAGTGGAATGACCAGCTCCTGACATTTTGGCCCTGGTAGAATGATCACTTAAAAAACAATTCTTAAGGAGTATGCTGTCCCTCAGTGGGCCAAGGAACAGCACAGGTGGAATTTAGACCCACTCTTTCCAGTATTCCACTGTATTTTGTGGAATTTGCTGCTACTCATCCCATCTGTTTATCTTCAGATGAAGCAAAGGATAAAAGAACTTGCTTGTTTATAGATACCAGCATTCTGGGTGTCAAGTATATGGGAAGAGGGTTGTCTTTGTTCTCGAAACTTACGTTTATTATTGACACTCTAATTGAAATTAGAACAGGAATGTTTTATTTGATCACACATGTTTTTTTCAATGGAAATTATAACTTCTATGAAATATTTTAGGCATTTAAAGTAAGTAAAAACTTGTAAAAGGAGTAGTAAAAGGAGTAAAAGCTTGATAGCAACCTGAATTCTGAGCATGTGCTCAATGTCTTCACTGTATCCTGGGATCTTTCATGAAAATATGTGCTGATGTATGTGTTACCAGATACTTATGTACATTCAATAAGAGTCGTGCTAAACAAGATGAAACCTTTTAAACCTTCTTTTACATTTTTTGCAGGCTTGAAAGAGAAGAGCAGAAAAGAAAGGCAGAAGAAGAGAGACTGCGTCTGGAAGAAGAAGCTCGTAAGAAGGAGGAGGAAAGAAAACGTGAAGAAGAGGCAGCTAGAAAAAAGGCAGAAGAGGAAGCCAGAAGAAGAGCTGAGGAAGAACAAATGCTAAAGGAAAAGCAAGAAAAAGAGCTCCAAGCCAAACTTGAGAAACAGGTATGTGAAATATTTATACATGTAAAAAAAAATACTTCTTAATACTTGGTAGTCTTCCTGAAATAGATAAAGGCCCTAACATATTTTACACATTTTGATTAGAAGGAAGAAGCAGAAATCAAAGCCCGTGAGGCAGCTGAACAGCTTCGTCTTGAAAGGGAACAAATCATGCAGCAAATTGAGCAAGAAAGGCTGGAGCGGAAGAAGGTGAGTATTTGCATCCTGGGATAATTATTTTATTTCTTGTTTAAATACATAACCCAGGAAGCACCCAGTAGTATCTAACAACAATAATCTGGAGGGATTAGAGGTGAATGGTTATGGCAAACGTAGTATTTTTTACTTGCCTGTTAGGGGAACATGGGCATCAAAATTTGTAACAAAGTGGAATTGCCTGGGGCAAATTACTTTCTCCTAGGCACAGAGCCAGTCTCTACCTGAAAAGTTAAATGCCTGAGACAAACAAGGAATGGCATGCCAAGGCAAATGTCAATTGCTCTCCAACCCAGGACATCACTAACTACTGACAAACATGAGTGACTTTGTTTAAAACTTAATAAACAAAAGCTCTGTGTCATTAATTAAGAAAGTTTGTGATTAGCAAGCAGCTTTTCCCCCACCTGACTGTCTCTGGTTGCATTATGCAGAGGAACAGGATTGTCTGGCCACTGCTGCACATGGTAATGGCTGCAGCTGCATAAATTAGCTTTGTTTACAGCTGTGTGGCAGGAAAGAGAGCAGCTGCAGAACCCCTGTCTGGTTACAAATGCTCATCTATCCATATATGTTATTCCAATATGTTTTGAACTGTTCACCACTGAACTGGAGGCATGTTGCAGTTGTAGATTAGAATATCAAACCAAAGTGTTTTGCATCTCAAAGAATATTTCCTTTTTAATGAAGAAAGAAGGAAAACAAAAGTGTTTTAGGATAATGCCTTACACATTTCTATCAAGAATAACTTCAGATATTTCATTTTACTCTTCTATTCCAAAAAGGCTAACTATTTTTAAAGGAACTGTTTGGAAATTGTTGGAAAAGCAACTAGATTAAAGTAACCACTGTTGGTTTTAAACAAATGTTTTGTTCCAGAGCTGAGCATAACTCATAGCTACAAACACCTGGTATTAAAAGACTTGTTTCTACAGTGCATCTGCTGAGAAAGTCATGTTCTGATAGGTTAAAAGAAAGTCAAGATCTGATAGGTTAAAGCCAGCTGCAAGATGTTTTCTATCTTTAATTTTCTTTATTTTTCTTATTTGTTCTCCCTTTTCCAAGGCAGAGAGGATGTCATGACAGTAAAAAAAAAGGTTCTTTCTCTTTTTTTCCCCTGTCTCTTGTGTTACATATTCTGTCTTCCATCTCATCCTGAAATTTATTTTGACTTATAGAGAATAGATGAAATAATGAAGAGAACAAGGAAGAGTGAAACCCCAGAAATAAAGGTATGAAAAAGTATGTGGTTGCAGATTTCTTTTGTTTTGTTTTATTGTATGTGGAAATTAAACTCTAGGGTAGTACCATGTTAGTAAGTGTACTTAGGTACACTCTAGACCCAAATTTTCGATGCATTTCAAACTGAGAATGACTGTTGCTGTGTCACAACCACTGCTAAAGAGACACAGCTTTTATGCAGCCTTTGCAGGTAGGATAATTGTTCCTCTCACAACCTAGCAAGGGGCAACAGCCCATTCCTGCACGCTGGAGCTGTACTGTTTGCTGCTGTTGATGTGTCTTCCTGCTTTGTACCAGCCAGTGAATTAGTTACTGAGCTCTCTTTGTTACCCCTGAATGTGGGGTTGAAAAGAAGGCAGTTGTTTCCAGCTAAGAAATGACAGTCTGGTTTTCATTTCTAATTTGCTAAAGAAAACTGTTTGTTCTGTTACTTTCAGAGAATGTTTTCTTTTTAAATTATAAAAAAATGCTATGCCTAACTAAAAAGGGGAAAAAGTCCTGTCTTGCTGTTGATGGTCATTGTCACCCTGTGGCCCTGGGCAGTCTCACAAATTTTGAGTCCAATCAGTTCCATGAAGGTTACAGTCCTCCCTCTAATACAGCTGAGTCATTACTTGATTTCAGAAGGAAGAGCCAAAACTGGAGATTCCATCAACTTTGAATGTGGAAAAGCAACCAAAGACCCTTGTTCTCAACCAGCCAGGTAAAAATTGCCATATTTTTTGACCTATTTTCACAGTTGAATCTCTTCAAATTTTTTTGATCTGAGGCAGAGCACTGTGTATTATCATAAGTTCTTTGCTTTCATCTCAAAAACAACAGCTGCATTTTTATCAGTGACAAATGTTAGAAACTGGAGACAGCTTTGCTTTGCCACTTAAGCAAAAGCAGAATAAAGTTTCTCCTCCGTTTTAGTACCTGATGTAGCATTTTTTGTAAATAAAATGTTCTAGTCTGCCAATATTTGTTTTTGGTTTGATTGCTGCAATCTACCTTCAAATTTTGTAGGTAGAAAATCTTTGCACACAACCAAGCTTTTTATAGTATGGCTCTAAATCTTACATTTAATTTGACTTCATAAAAAAAACCCCATATGTGTTTAAAGGATTATTAATTAAAATATATCTGACATTATCTATATTTTGGTTAGTTTCCTAGGCTAAGGTTTTTAATAAATGACATAAAAGATAGAACATTCTCTTCCTGTTTCCTCAAATTTAAAAGACGTAGCATAAAGAAGTTTTGGAGTGGAATAGAGGAATGACAAAACAGTATGATGAGTCATGGAGTAAACTGAGTCTACTGCATTGTCAGTCTTCATTTCTACTCAATCTATAACTTAAAACTATTTAAATAACACATTTTCTATTGTCATCATTTCTAACTTTCTTTTATAGAGATCAATGGATTGGCAACCTGCCTGAAAAATAAAAGCTTAGAAAGTGCGGCTTCTGTAATCCCTTCTCAAGATGTAGTTGCTAATGGACTGAAGTCAGTTTCAGGACTTATTCAGCTGGAAGCTGTTGATGGGAAATTTAACAGCATGGAAGATTCAACAGATGAGGTTCAGTCCATGGATGTGAGGTACAGACTGGATCTACCTACAGGGTTGTGGAATTCATGTGAGACACAGGATTTTGGGTTTTGTTTGTTAATACTTTACTACTTCCCTTCTCACATCCCCCACGGTGACAACTGGGTGTGTACTGGGTGTGTTCTGCTCCTGCCAGGATGCTCCTGGGTGTTTGATACAAGAGCCACAGAACCTCATCTCACGCTCACATATTTGGGGGAGGGAACTCTGAAATCTTTCCACAGTCCTTACTTATAGATTCCATGCAAGTTTGCCCAAACCTTTCAGACGGATTTGTGAAAGCAGCTACTGTAGATACTCTTCTGATGTCACTATTTTTTAATTTGGCTGCATAGCTGTTATTCATGAGCAGTTCTGCCTCCATACAAAAAGAATAAATAAAATAATGGATTTAGAATTTTAAGTACTTAACAAGTAGAAATGTATGGAAGTCAGTAAATAATTTTGCGGTTTTAAATACTCTCACATTTTGATGGAAGGACATGCAGAAAAGAAGGATTTTTAATTTTAATTTAAGTTTTTTTAATTTGAATATATATATAGAGAGAGACAATTAATTTAAGACTGCTAAGTCAAAGCTAGATCTGAATTTTAAACATGGAATTTAAATGCTGTTCTTCCATAATCAGTAAGTCAGTTGAACCTCTTATACTGTCTCAGTATTTCCAGCAAATATGCATAAATATATAGGAAATGCCATGCTGGGACCACCCAGAAGATTGTGTAGCCCATTATTTGGTCTCAGAGAGTATCAGTAAGAAAAACGAGTTAGGGAGAGCACATGAGCCTACCACTTCCTGCAATCCAAGATCACTGAAGTGTGGCCTTAGGGATATTGAGGGCAGAAGTTTGCCTTTGCCTTTTAAGTGGCCACTGGTTGACATGTTGCCCATGAGTTTATCCAGCCTTTTTTTTTACCAGCTCTTTGTGTCTAGACCTCACCTGGAAGCAGTACAGTCTCACTGGTAGATTATGTTCTTTGATCCCTGTTAAACCCAGTTTCTTATTGGTGGCATTGGACACTCCTTACATTTTGTGTTGTAGGATTTCACTCATGATAGTTTTGCCCTTAACGCATCCACCACCACATCATAGTTTAAGAAATGTCTGTGAAAGCTTTCCTCTGCTTTCTCCAAACTAAAATGCACTAGCCTTGCTAGTCTCAGTAAAGCAGCTGGTTGCAGAATTTCTTAAGTTTAATTACGGGATTTTTATGTCTGAAGTATATAATAAGGTTTTAAGAAATAACTTCTTATTTAAGTTTTGAAATGTATGTACTTTAAGTAAGTGTTTGCAGGATCAGGATAATAATGTGAAAGATGCAATAAACATTTAGGTAAAGGAATGATGCAGGGACTGAAATAATGATCAGTAAACTGTCAGACATGTGGGTGAGATGAGTGCTCATGTTACACAGCTACCACAAACCATAATCATTAAGGGCTAGGTTAGGTTTGATCTTCCATCCTGAGCAGGGCAGTATCTTTTTTTCTTTGGATTAGGACATTCTCTAGGTAAAAGCTTGCTGTAGCTGCCTTAAGATGAGTGGTAGTTTCTGAACAGTTAGAGGTCTAACTTGATTGTTGATTAATGAAAAGTTGTAGACCTCTTATTCTGTGTCTTTCTTCCTTTATCTTTTGTATAGCCCGGTTTCAAAAGAAGAACTTATCTCTATCCCTGAATATTCACCCATGAATGAACTCATGCCAGGTGTTTCTTTGGACCAAAATGGGACAAGTAATGCCAAGGCTCTTGAAGACCTCTTGGATTTCACAGGCCAAGCTACCTACTCCAAGATGTCAAGTGATACCCTTAGCCTAGACGACTGTAACAAAAACTTGATTGAGGGATTTAACAGCCCAGGACAAGAAAATACACTTAATTCTATCTGTTGACAGCCTTGCTTTTCAGCAGAACAGATACAGGTACAGTACTGTGATAAACATCTTATGATAAATTGCTGTGATTACTTACTAGCTTCCCAGAATATTGCAGCAGTCCATGGCAGTGTGGGGAGAGAAGGAAAGCTGTTCACCTAGGTATTTTAATTCAACATAATCTTTGAGATGTGCAGCTGCCTGTAAATTGGCATCATATGCAAATTGATTGTATCATAGCAACCACAAGCATCTGGTAAATGGAAACATTTCCTTTAGGCACCCAGAATTTCTTCATTAATACAATACCTTTCCTGTATATCTTTGGAGCCTATTTGCATGAAGAAAAGAGTTAAAAGTGGGGCTAGTCTAGGCCATGGTAGTTATTGATGCTGCTTATTCTTTGCTGCTGTAAAACTTGCAGTGTAGAGTCACATAAGGCAGCATAGTAAACACCCATAGTAGGTTTCGATGACAGTTTCAAAGTACAAAGTCACGTTTTTTGGAAGAATATATTCTCTAACTTGCAAAACTGAGGTCATCTAACTTGCGTAGCTGACTTGATGTTCTTCTCTCTCTTTTTAATTGACAGAGGTAACAGTTTCTGGAGGATATATATCCCTGTGATGCTACTGGCAGTAAAATATGAGCTTGTCACTTGAAAAAGCTTCTGCAGTCCTTGAACACTGGATTTCAAATAATCAGAGCTGAATATAACTTGTCTTCCCAGGGAATATGTTGAATAACTGGCTGCTTTTGGTAGAAACCAATGATGTTTCAGGGAAGACAGAGCGTGCATTAGAATTTGAGCTTTAGCTGCTAATAAAGCACTTATTTCTTCTTTAATTTAAAATTCATCTCAACACTTCACTGTGATTTTTACCTGTGCATTTTATTTTTAAATAATTATTTCCTAAGCTTGATCATACATCCATTTAGACATCTTTTTCTTGTAAATAATGATGGGGTTTGCCCACAGTGCATTGAAACAAAATAATATACTGTAGTTTGGTGCCTATCTTTTTTTTTTTTGTCTTTAATAAGGAGTTATTTGCAACTTTTATGAGGTGTGTAATTAAAAACTGTAGCTGAAGAGGCTTGAAAAACATATAGCTGCTGGAATCAAAAGAGCCTTTTTACTGACTGTGGAATATGGGAACTATCCCTTTATGATTATGTTGACACTTTTAGTCACTAGTAGCACTTACCAGTTAATATTTATTAGTCTGGGAGCAGCTATCAACTGTGTTTGAAATCATACTTGTGTAACACTTGTAATCAAAGTAGGCCAAATGCCAAGTATAACCCCTTAATATATGTGTAGTATAGCTGTAGTAGATTCGAGTGAGTGATCAGGAGGGTGACACATTAACCTTTGAATATGCAGACACTTGATTAATACCAGCAGGCTTTCTATCACACAGAGAAGTATTTTGTCTTCATGTAGGCTCAACAAAATGGGATTTGGTCAGCAGCAAAACAATATGTGAGTACCAGAAACAAAGGCCAAAATGCACACCAGGAGCACTGGGCGCCCTTAACGTTCTGTAAACATCTGTATGGAACAGTCCACACCGAGATGTACAAGGTCAGGACGTCATGTGCTGTACAGTGTTAACTTTATTTCTGTTGGTGAACCTTTATGCTAGGTCAGGTACTGCTTTGAGGACGTTTTGTCCAGTCTCTTGTAAGAATAAATTATAAATACAACTCTCTTTGGACACTAACACAAAATATGTGAAAACTTGGGGGGGGAGGGGGTGTTTGGCTTTTTTTTCCTTTTTTTTTTTCCATGTGTAAGAGTTCACAGCATAAATTGACCTCAGTTGTAGCACCATTCTTGTGCTCTTAAAAGTCAGCTGTGGGAAAGTAACCAGTGACATGATGTGCAATGCCTAAAAAAATCATACCTACAACAACCCAGCTCTATTTATGTTAATGTACTTCAAAGAAATACTTTCTTTTGACTGTGCAGTAAGCTGTAGCATGGTACTGTGTCTTCCAAATTAGTCCTTCATCTATTTCCTAAATAATAAACAAACAGAAACAGTTTGTTTTGCTGTAATACACTGTGTTTGGCAAATGTCATATTATATTTTATTATGGTGTCATTGTATAACCTGTAGATTTCTGTATTTGCATGACCTGTATAGCATGTATAAAGGTGAAATACATTTTCATTTATGAATCTGACTTGTCTCTTAATGCTTTTTATTCCCACAAAATGACTGATTTAAAAATACACATATGTGAATTTGTTCTGAGGTACTTTCTGAAGGAGGGTATAATACTGAATGAAGGAGTGGTTGTCAAAACCTCAGTATATTTCACCATTGTTACCATTGCCACATATTCATTTGCTTTCTGAGGTCCTGCCAAGTGCAGGCTGGTGGCTGAAGAGCTTTAAGGTGAGGACTCCAAATGGTGGCATCCAGGGCACTGGTGACATATAGGGCCAGTTTGCAGCCTCAGCCTCTGCTCTCTGGCAAAGAAAATAACCAAGAGAAAACTTGAGAGCTGTGGTAAGTAAACACTGTTCTGTTTAGTGTGCAAGAGCTGTTCTGTAGAGTACCCATGACATAAATGCTGAACTTCTCTTCAAGCTATGTGCATGCACTGCTGCTTGGAAAGCAACCAGCCTGGAGCTGCTGATAGTTCTCTAGTGAAATGCTGAGGAGATTTTTTAGTGTATTTTTTTAAACCATCACTTCAGTCAAAATTGCAAAAGAGACAATCTAATTTTATGATTAAGTATATTAATACTTTCCATGCTGTCAGTTCATTTCATTTGCATTAACTCCTGAAACATTCATGTTAATTGTCCAGTCGATTGTTTACTAAGATTGAAGGAAACAAGATGTGTATTTGTGAAGAAATTGCGTATTTACATTTATATTCGCTTTCAAATGTAAGTTCAAATCTGGCTGAATATCTGGAGGAGGTACTCTCAGCTGAGAGATTAAATTGCTTCTTTTTGCTTTTGCTGGTGTAACTTCTTCATAGCAGCACCATGCCAATGTTTGCTGCTGTGAATTGAGACTGCAATGAGCTTTACTTTGAATTTGTCAGTGGTCTTGCGACTGCAGTGAAGGATCACTAGTGATTCACACAAGTCCTTGATAGAGCTTTTTTGCTATTATTTTATATAACTATTAGTAAGTTTTTAAAAGATAAATAACTCCTGTGATGTAACTGGACATCAGAGTAGCTTTCTGATTAGGTTCAGCACTTTACATGGTATTGCCCAGGGAAGTGGCACCCAGACCTTGCCTTGGACCACAGAGAAGGCTCTGAACAGACCTCTTGTCTCTCCAGGGAGATAATTTCAAAATAAAATTGCATCAGTAAGGGGTGGATCTGGACCACCAGGCTGTATTTTCATCTGGTGATGAACAGCTAGAAGCAGGGGGCATCATTCTCTCTCCTTTAATTGTACAAATGATATTTGTGCAGAAAGCTGCAGAAATAGCACAGATTGCTACTCTGGCTGTCAGGGTGGGGATCTTCCCTCTGGCATAAAGAGAGCAGCACCTTTCCCTGCTTCACCCCACCTCAGTCCCAGCTTGACAGCATCTTCAGCTCAGGTGTCCCTGCCACCACCCCACTCCTGTTCCAGGCACTGTCAGTGTGGCACAGCAGCTCTTCTACTGCCCAAGGTGGTACAGTGGTTTTCAAAACAGGTTTGATCACACTGTTTGGAGAAGCCTGAGATCCCAGGATAACTGGGCTTCAGTGCTGCACAGCAGCCTGGAAACCCTAGAAGGAGACATCCTTCCCATTAAGATTTAAACTGTATTAAAATGTAGGTAGTTCAATATTCAAGAGCTGAAATCTAGACTCCGAAGTTTGTATCTTGTTTTCTCTGAGCCTGGCCCAAGTCCTGCACAAGAGGGAGACTGTCCTGTAAGCAGCACAAATTAAATCAGTGGTAATATGCTGCCCCTTTTCCTGATTTAGTGACCTGTGGGACTCTGCCTTACTTCTCTCTTCTCCCTCCCTATTCAGGAGCAAGGTGGAAACTGAAAAAAGTCTCTTCATTTGCTTTCATTTCAGGATAATTTTGTTCAGTGTGTTGGTTGCCTCCAAAACCAGCATGAAGTGTGGTTGTTCACCTATGCTGGCTGCTACTGTTATGGGTGCACAAAAAGACCTAAAAGGCCAATGTCAGTTATCTGACATTGGGGATGTTGATTTTCAGTATCAATATTAAATTCTGCAAAGTGTATTATTACTGCTGAGCGACTATACTAAAATCTGGAAAATTTTATGTTATGACTGAATGCAATTTTCTCTGGGTTTTTATTTTTAATCTTCAAGAAAGCAGGATTTAAACTCAATCTCTCCAGAATACATACACTTGAAAATAACAGAAAATTTAAAATATTCAGGTGCATTTTTGTTATTGCTGTTAGTGCAATAATGCCAGTCCAGAACACAGTGAGCCAGAATGTTCATTTCTCCCCCACTTTTTTATCCTATCAATCAATCATATCCTTATGATGTCCTACAGCTGAAGAGTAGGTGATGCTGTTCACTCCAATTTAATGTGTCTGTTGAAGCATGTGAAGTGGAAAAGTCCTTAAAACTGCAGGCAGAAACTAAGAGAAATCATATTTAAGCTTTTAAAATTATTACCTAAAGTATAAGAAAATGTTTTCTTGATCACCAGAATTTTAGATACTTATTTTCTTTCCAATAGCCTGGTTTGCTCTGCAGCTTGTATATGTTTTATAGCATTTTGATTATTCAAGACTGAGCTTAGTAATGTTTTTAATCTAGTAGCTTTGATGATTATCTGAGGCCTGCAATTTTCAGGATCAAAATAGAGACTGTGGAATATAGCGTGTCATGTTCACTTGGGAACTTTATGAAAATAGATGTGTGTCCTTGCTATAATAAAGCCTTAATGATTTCCAGAGAAAAACGGACTATTATGCAGGAGACATCCAAGGAATAGAAGGAGCAGTAAGCAATGAACTGCGGGTTCTAGGAAGTGATATGCAGCAGCCTTGCATATCACTTTAGATCTTGCTGTGCCTACAAGAATAACTTGAAGTCCACTGCAATTGTAGGTGATTGACATGGTACAATAATGGACCCAAGGACATAAAATTGCATAACTGAAGAAAAAAATGATTGTGTGCAAGAGATGTTCAGAATCTGGGAAATTACTCTGTCGGTATCTTATGTTTTTTTCTAGAAATAATAGCCCCTCTTACCAAATTCAGTAAGTAGCACAGTAAGCAGGATCAGGGCAATACCTGTAACCATATTAACATGCACACACATCCCTTTTCAGAGTAACCTCTCTTTTAAAATACAGATGGCAGCATTGTCTGAAATATAATTTTTAGCACCTTAAATATGCTAAGCTGTGGGGGTTTATACCACTAAATTCTATGGAGTAACTTCTAATTTTCCTGGTGTGAAATCTTAATCAGGAATAATTTTCACTCTTTTTTTTTTTTTTTTTTTTTTTTTTTTTTTTTTTTTCCTTAAACCTCGTATCAGTTGAAATACAGAAATTCAAACGAATACAAATTCTGGCCATTTCCTGCTGAAATGGGTTTGTTCTCTTAGTTCCTGGACAAAGACTGCCCACACCACAGCTGGCAGAGAAACAGAAGTCCAAGGAGTCTTTCAAAGACTGATTGTGTGCAATAGTACGTCAGGGACAGCACTGAAACCCTGCTTGCATGGGCAACAGGTACAGTCCTGGTCAGACATGGCTGAAACTTCCCCAGCTGAAGACTGGGTCAGAAGTTCTTCCCTTCTGGCAATCAACATTTGTATTTCTAACCTACAGTTTTACAAGGTTAATTTATGCCAATGTTCTTGGGCCAGTGTTGGACTTTAGGGCAGGTGTCCTGTAGCAAATAAAATTGTTGGTGGATTTAGCAAATAAATGAGTTGATGAATGAGTGAAGGTCACAGTCACTGAGGAATGTTAAGACACTTTACACTTATTTATTACCACATAATTACTAATAAAATTCCTAAGGCAAATCAGTATCAGTCATGCCCACAATGTTGTCTCATGGTGGACATTTTGAAATTTTCTCTCTCCTCAGTCAGACTTTCATCCTGCTGTTTTACTGCAATTTCTTCTTCTTCTGTCATATTTCCAAGTCCTGGCTCTTGCACAAGCAAAGAATTGCAGCCTTTTTGCACCTGTCTTCCTTCTCAAAATCATCTGCTTTGGCCTCTTGGATGATAAGCTCAAAGCCTTTCTTTTTAAAATCCTCTTACTGCATTTATGTCGCACATTGGTATTAGTTCATACACTGAGATTGTTTTCACTGGTATTTTGCCAACACCTCCCAGGTTCACACGGGCTGTATGCCCAGCAGCAATGGCACATTTTCATGTGTTGTTACAGGAAAGCCACGATAAGCTTATAAATAAAACACTGGCTTTGTTACGTCATGAGGGCCCAGGCTTGCTGGAGGCTCTTTTTGAAGAGTAATTCGGTGATGCTATCAGAGCCAAGTCATGCAGTTAGTCATCCTCTCACATTCCTTCAGGTTTTAATTAAACAATTACTTTCCATCTTTCCTTAAATTTCAAGGCTAAAAAATATAGGATGTATTTCCTCAATGAAGGAGGAAGTCGTTACCTGTTGCTTTGAGCCTAGACTGGAAAAAGTGTCACAATTCCACAGAAAACTGTTAAAGAAAGTTCTTATGACTGAATTTTGGGGTTATTGCTTCATTCTGGAACATATTCTTGTCTTGTCTGCATAAGGTTGAAGTTCCTTTGACAAATAACCTCAGGAATTGACTTAAACCCCAGTGTCTAATTTTTTATAAATGAAGAGAAAGAACTGATGCTCCCATGCTGGGGACTTGGAGGTTTAGCTAATTTTGTTTCACTGAATGATAGAAATATGTATTTATTACTACCATTAGAAAAAGCAAATGACCAACATGCCTGCAAAGAATTAGGCAGCTCACTATCATTTTGTAACAGGAGACACCGTTTGTGGTTTGGTGAAAGCATTTTGATAAAAAAGTCCTGATTGCACTAAAGGGTAGGGATGGATCAGGGGCAGAAAAAAGCATGAATGTGAAACTCCTTCAAAAGCAGAGATCCAAGTTAATGAAGCCATGCAAACCTAATAAGAAGGCATAACAAGTTAACAAAAGAAAACATTTCCCTTTAGGTATTATGAGACATTGCTTGGCAAAGCCATGATTTTACCTTGGACAGCAGTTCTTGATGGTGGATCTGAATCATCTTGTGGGTGTTGACTCCGCTAGACCCTCTCTCATGTTCCAAGATGCTTTTTCCCTTTTAACTGCCACCATCTACAGGCTCTGTCTGCAGACACCAAAACAAATTATGTATGACAACCAAGCCAAACCACTCCACATCCACAGCAAGATTTTAATGTCCTTTATCTGGTGCACCTCAGTGGAGAGCAGGTGTTCAGCAGGAGCTGCTGTGGTGGTCAGCCCTGGCATTGCAGGGAAGTTCAGGTGATGCTCCCCAGCACAGCCTGGGAGCACTTTCCTTGTTCTCTGCCTGCTTCTGTGCCTGACCTTGCCAGCAATCAAGATTTTTTTTTTTTTTTAATTAGCATAATATGGTTCAGCAAAGGTCAGTGTCTAGAGTAACATTTTATGTGGAAAATGACATGCCTCCTTTGTTGCCTTTATGAAAGACAACCAGGAGCCTGGTTCAGATGGCAGCACGGCGGCCTGGTCTCGTCCAAGCCACTCGGGCTAATCAACACACGCAGATACCAATATGGCAGACGGTTGAAAAAGCGTTTATTATCCTATTTCGTGGGTTTATATAGGTTTAGGAGTCTTTGCTACGTCAGAGGGGGGTTTGGGGTCTCGGAGGATAGTGGGTAGTGGAATTTTACCAGGACAGGTGTGGCTACATTCTTTTCTGACTCCTGGGGTTAGCAGATAAGCAGGGGAGAGAGAGGGGGGAAGGGGTCTGTCTTTCCGTGACATCCCGGTAATCTTCCGCTCCGCCTGTCCCTATCTTACCACATCTCCCCCCTCCTTATCATATACAAAATGAGGTAGTTGTAGATAGAGGCATTGGAGTGAGGTACAGACTTGTAACTTGTTAAGGAAAGGGTGGTTTAGTAGATCAGGGTAGGTTTTTTAAGGCAGGTGCTGAAGGCTTTAGCTACTGACTGTGTTTGCAGTTTTTTGGTTTATAGCATTTGTTGGTGGCCTATGAACAGAATGTTTGCCCTTTCCAGACGGGCTTGAACAAACGAGACTAGTTTGTTCAGCAGGCATGGTCCTATGGTAATAGCCAAAAGCAGTATTGCCAGTGGACCTACCAGGGCGGAAATTAAAGTGGTGAGCCAAGGTGATTGATTGAACCAGGATTCAAACCAGCTCTGCTGGGTCTCCTTGTCTCTCTTTCTCTGAGCTAGTCTGTCTCGGAGTTCTGCCATGGAGTCTTTAACGACTCCTGTATGATCTGCATAAAAGCAGCATTCCTCCTTCAAAGCTGCACACAGTCCTCCCTGCTGCATAAACAAAAGGTCAAGTCCTCGCCTATTTTGTAAAACTACTTCTGAAAGTGAAGAGACTGATTTCTCCAGATAGGAGATGGATTTCTCGATCCTCTGCAGGTCCTCGTCGATGGTCATTTGCAGCTGGGAGAGTCCGTGTTGCTGGGTTGCGATGGCTGAGACGCCCGTGGCGGTGCCAGCTGCTCCCAGGCCGAGCAGCATTGCGATGGTTATACCTGTGATGATTTTCTTTTTGTGGAGTCTGTTAGGTTTTTCGAGAAGATGGTATATCTTTTCATCTGAGTGATGTAGGACCTTAGAAACAATCAGAACTTGAACACAAAAGTTGATAGAGTTATTAAACTTGGTAAGGAATATATAAGGATTCACTCTGGGTTTTTGGCAAACTTACATTTTAAATGTGGATGGGACTATTTATTTATTGGTCTTCTGTGGGGAGTGTTTCACTTGCACTGGTGGGGGACACTGGCTGTGGAGTAATTGAAGGGGGTATTTAAAGCAATGATTTTGTAGAAAAAGGGGGTTTAATATTATAGCAAAATTAATATGGGTTAGTCAGGTTTGATTTGGTTTCATTTAGGGTTAGTAAAATAGCTTCTAAACAGGCTGGCTATATGGAACACGAAGGATGGGGTATTTATTATGGTGACTTTTTTGAGCACTTTGTTACTTGTTGCACGACTCACTTAAATAGCTGATGAGGGTAGTGGCCTGGGCTAGCTTGTTTCTTTGGCTACAAGCTTGTAACAGTAAAATTGCATGAAGAAAGACACTGTGCATGTTTGGATCTTACCACCGTGGGATTTTCAGGTGTTGTCTGGCAGTTTGGTGGTCTGTTATCTCTTTCTGGAGCAGGGGTGTGTGTGTCACTGGGATGGTTCACAAGCGTGCCCTGCAAACAGAACTCATAGCTTCTCATTAGTTTTGTTTTGAGGGTCAAGTTCGGTTGTTAGCAGTGGTGTGCAGCAGTGGCTTTCATGGTCTCACCACATGGGGGTTCTGACTGCCACAGAGGCAGCACGTCCCCTACATCCCCGGGGGCTTTCTCTCCACTTTCATAGCCAGGGCTACCCCGGGGTCCCGTATCGGGGGCGTCTCTTGCTGACCCTGCGGCACGGGCGCCGTTATTTGCGGTGGGAGGGGGCTGGGTTCGCCCGCGCGCTCCCCCCCCGCCCGCGCGCTCCCCCCCCGCCCGCGCGCTCCCCCCCCGCCCGCGCGCTCCCGCCGGCTCGGAGGGGTCGGTAGAGCTGTTGCTAGGCTCCGTGCCGGAAATGAAATGCCAGCGTACTTCCGGGGCCCCGCGCCGTTTTGTTCGGCCCCGGGCTCGCTCCTCCCCGCGGGGGAGGGGCCGCTCCCGCCCCCCCGGCTCGCCGCGCCCCCTGCGGGGGGTGGTTTTTGCCTTATATGGTGGCGGCTCCTGGCGCGGCCGCTGATTGACTCTGTGTCCCGAGCCGCCCTCCGCCCCTTTCTCCCGCGCGCGCGCGCCCCTGAAGTCGCGCGGTGTCCGAGATTTCGCGCCGGGACCGCCCAGGCTCCGCCCCCCTCCGCGGCATTCGGCGCCATTTTCAAAACTACCGCATGGCCGCGCGGCCGGGGATTCTCCCCGAGCCGCGGCCCCTGCGACTCCGGTCTCTCCCGCCGGCTCTCGCCAAGAGCGCCCCGCGCGCGGCTGCGTCTTTGACCGCGGATCTCTGACCGGCGGCGGGACGGATTGGGAAGCGGCGGCTTCTCGGGGTTTTTCTGCGGCGGGGTTTTCGCGGGGGTTTTTCGTGGTGGGGGTGTCCCGGGGGTTTTTTGCGGCGGGGGCGTCCCGGGGGGCTTGTGCGGCGGGGTTCGGCGCTGCTCCGCTCGGCGCGCCGGCGGGGAAGCGGCGCGGAGCCGCGGGCAGGCTTGGGTTCCGGCGGGAGCGGAGTCGCGCTGCTCGGAGCGCGCTCCAGCGGGGTCGGGGCCGCGCCGCTTGAAACGCGCCGCTCCGGCGGCAGCGCTGCTTCTGCCGGGCTGGGCTGGGCTCAGCTCTGCGGCGGGGCCGAGCTGCGCTCTGATCCGGGGAAGGGGTTGTCGCGCTGAGCCCTCTCGGGTCTCCGGTCCCGGGTGGACCCTCCTCAGGGACGGTCTGCGCTTTCGCCCCCCCCCCCGAGCTCGGGTTTGACTAATAAACACGTGCGCGCTGCATTCTGCGTCTTTTGTTTTTCTATTGCTTTGCGCGGGGTTTCTTTTACTTTGCCCCGTGCCGTAACGCTTTCGCCTGAGGATTTTGCCTCTCCGGCTAGCGTGGCTGTATACTGTTCCCATATTCCCAGATGCATGGCATCCACTGAGCATTCGGCTGCTCCAAGCCCAGGCAGCCTTGCTATAGCAAGATAAAAGTTCCTGAGCTTAAACGCGATATTCCATTGCCTCATACTTACGACCCATGCGACGCTGCCTATGACGCTCGCGGGTCCGGGGACGTCTCCCCTACGCCTGGGTACGGTTCCACCGTCCTGGCCGCTGCTTCTGTCCAGGTGAAACCCGTCAGCCGGGCAAATTTTTCTTCTTTTGTCCCGGGTTTCCGGCACCAGTATGTTGCCTTTATGAAAGACAACCAGGAGCCTGGTTCAGATGGCAGCACGGCGGCCTGGTCTCGTCCAAGCCACTCGGGCTAATCAACACACACAGATACCAATATGGCAGACGGTTGAAAAAGCGTTTATTATCCTATTTCGTGGGTTTATATAGGTTTAGGAGTCTTTGCTACGTCAGAGGGGGGTTTGGGGTCTCGGAGGATAGTGGGTAGTGGAATTTTACCAGGACAGGTGTGGCTACATTCTTTTCTGACTCCTGGGGTTAGCAGATAAGCAGGGGAGAGAGAGGGGGGAAGGGGTCTGTCTTTCCGTGACATCCCGGTAATCTTCCGCTCCGCCTGTCCCTATCTTACCACACTCCTTGAAATAACAGATCCATAAGATTTGTCTTCTGTCAAGGGCTAGTTCCTGCTTTTGAATTTTAGGTAACTTCCATTCATCATTTCCAAGTATTTAACATGCAAACCACAGTTGTACTCTTTCCAAAGGGAATGTTTACTAAATTAAGCATTAAAGGAGTATGAAAGTGATCATCTATTCTAATGATGCTTAATTAGAAATAAAACATGGAAATAGATTAAAATAATTAGTCTTAATAAGCAGTAATTGCCAAGTCTTGTGCAATAGAATAGCCTTCCCAATTTAGAGGTGGAGAATAATGATGCTGTGGAGCTACTAATAGACATTGATTTAAATATTAATTTAACTTGTAAAGTATGTGTAAGTTGTTTTTTACTTAGACTACATGGTCCTAACCACAGAGATCCTTGTGTGCTTACTATCCATCAGGATAGTATCCATCCTGTTATCTATAAATATAAATTGGATCAAGATCATCTGAGGCAACATCAAGTAAAGAGGTTGATAATGAAATTTGGTAATTTATTTTATGTCATGTAGAAGTTTGTCCTATGCACACAGAGGTTGTCTAACTGAACTGAGAGCTCAGTTTTAGTTTCAAATCTGCTTAGTTTTAAGTCTCAGTGCAGAGGTAGCCCCACACATGCAAAGGTCAGGCAAACCATTACACCAGCTGAAGCAGGGAATAAACCCAAATCTTTTTTACTCTTAGTTCGACTTTCTGAATCATGAAATTAAATATAATCTTGATAATGCCTATACAGTGATTTTCCCACATATTGGCATATACAGAAAACTCGGACTGCACCTTACCTGGCAGAGCCACCCAGGCTGGACCATGTTTTTTGGCAAAGGGCTGATCAATGGTATCTCTGTGCACCAGTCTCACTTTCTCCATCTAAAGCTCAAGGAGCCAGTTCTCATCCTGAACTTCTATTAACAAAAATTCCAGCACAGCAAAGAGGAAGCAAGTCTTGTTGCAGCAAGTGTTGTTGGTGCACCTTGTCACTGTAATTCTGTGCCCTATGCGTCAGTAAATCCATTTTAGTTGGGAAAATGCTACAGCTAAATTCAAAAATAATCTTATCATTTTATATGAGAATTTCAAAATGTTTTGGTGAATGCAGGAAATTCTTTTATACAGAAATCATATGGGATTCCTTGTGTTTGAGTCCACAGAGAACCAACCAGGATCCTGCAGACAAAGACAGCA